AGGAGCTCTCAGCTGAACTGCCAGTTCTTTCTGGAATGTTCATGACATTTCCATTGGTAACATTTACCCTCACAATGTTGACATGTTTTAGAATTTGTTAGTTATCAAACAAAATCTATCCGATGTCTTTGTATGAGTTAAAGGACTTTATTTTAACACCGTCTTTTGTTTTTCTCTCTTCTCAGGCGATTCTGACATCATCAGGAGCATGCCAGATCAGCAGCAGCCACCTCAGTAGAGCTGATCCCCCACCCCGTTGTTATAAATAAAATCGGTGTTAACACGAAATGCTGCCGTCATGTCATCTCTTATTAACATAAGCTGCATCTCTTAATAATATAAGCTGATTGTCCAGTCAGTCCTGCAAGTGTCCACCAGGGAGCATCGGTGTGCCCTTCAGATTTTCTCAGATGAAGTTTCCCTTATTAACGGTCTCTGAGGGATTTCCTCTGGTCTCCGCTGAGCTCTTTACATTATGAAGCTGTCAGCGGGAAACTTACAGGAAATGAGTCTGAAAACCACAGTGGATCTTTCTTTCGTGACTTGCATGACAACCGGATTATCTGTTTCTGTACAACTGACGTTTTCAACCAACCGACCGACTGCTTATCGCACAGTTGATGTCAAAATTACGCAACTGCTGATCTTTCAGTGTTTTGTTTTTTTTCTCACATAAACCGTGGGGATGTCCGCCTGCTTTATTAGTTGCAGTCTGACTAATCGAGTAAGGACACTTTCCTCTTGGGTATTAAAGGCTTTAGGGTGATGGTGCCTCTGTCACTCATACTGTTGATGTCCTCCGATTTGTTCACGTAAATGTAGTCCCAAAAACACGGGTTCTCTTTAGAGATCAGAGGAACTAATAAACCATGTTGGGCGTGGCACTGAAGAGTTTAGATGGTGAAAACAAAAGGACTATACTTTGATACCGTCTACATAAAATGTGTATGATTCATGCTTCCAGATTAATGTTGATTTAAGTAATCAAGCAGGGAACATGCATTTATTAGACTTATGATCTTGTTTATTTTGACTCACGGGTTCTGCTTTAAGTTTGCTTTAATTAGATGAAAAATGTCCACAATTGTCAGTTTAACAACCGACATTTTCAAAAATCCGACCTTTGACTAACTGCTATTTGGCCAAGCAGTTATTTTGAGCGCGTGTTTGGTAGAATGGGATCCAGGGTTCAAGATGGCCTAGAGGTAATGATGTGTGCTCCATGAACAGAGGCTGTAGTCCGCGTCACTGCGACCCTGGGTTTGAATCCGGCCTAGGCCATTTGCTGCATGTCATCCCCCACTCTCCTCCCAACATTTCCTGACTCTTCAGCTGTTTTATTCAGTAAAGGAAAAACTACCAAAAAACACTACTTAAGTAAAAAGGACATGGCTGGTTTGTCAAATATGGTGTCAGACAGATTGCCAGACAACCAGACAAGCAGAATGTAATAAAATAATCCTCCTTCAGTCCAATGCAGACATTATGAGAATGGTACATGTCCTGTTTTTGTAGTTTGATCCAGACTCATTTATTCACTTAAAATCAGGATATATTTGCTGCTAAAACAAGAATCCTCTCTTTGATTTGTCTCCTGCAAGTCTTCAAAACTTAACTACAGCTCAGTATCTCTTTAACCTCTGAATTACTCGAGACTGAAAATTTGAGTCAGATTTTTCTAATTGGTATATTTAACCATGAATTTGTTAAATAGAGGGAGTTTCAGCTTCTCATATCTGGCTGTTGGTTTGTTGCTCCGCTACAGAATCACTTTTGTACCTGCAGCTATAGCACTGCTTGACAAAGCTAGCACAAGATGATGCACTTTAAACATGCCAGATATTTCAAACTTTTGAGTGGGAGTCTGTGTGTAAGGACCTTGCCATGATCTATTATAATGGATAATGTTTTCTGTCTGGTCTTTTTTTTTTACCTGTACTGTTATGTGTTGTATGTTCCTATTGAAACACTGAATCACTGAATCACCTCTAATCAACTAATTTACCTTTCTAGGTACTAATAAAGAAACCGAAATCTTAACCTCAAACTGCTCGAATCAGATCCACTTTCTCCTCAAAAATGAAAGGTAATATACTATTTTTATGACATCAAATGTTAAATAAAATAACTTAATAACAATTAAACACATTAAATAGTTGGGACTTCTGTGATCGTAAACCTGCTATTTACAGTATCTGAAGGGTAAAAAATACAGACTGGCAATATGTTTTTTGTTGTTGCTTTGTCTTCAATGTGATGAGATGTTGAAATCATTAGTTATTGTTTTATTCATGCTGAACATCTACCCAGAAATGGAGAAATAAGCCGTCCACTGTCCGTTTTGCCCAGTTTCCCCCCCTCACTGCTTCCCTAAGCCTTTTTCTTGATTCCCAATTAAATCGAATGAAATCATCCCAGATGATTTGCTCACGTGCTGCAGATGCCCCGCACCAAAAATAGAAATGAAAGCCTGTTAGAGCTCCTTGCAGCGTTCTCCAGCCCTCCTTCACATTTTAAACCTACATTGTTAAAGGTCTATTCATTTATTGTTTTTGTCCCTTTTGAACTGATCCCAAATGAAGTTGTTTGCTTGTCAAGTAATAGAGAGCTAGTTCTAATTTTATGTGTATGTGTATTAGTCATTATGCCAATTAGTCGTCCCTGACTTTACTCTGGGCTTTATGTGTTCAAACACACATTATTGATCTTACACTTCTCTATTTGTCTCTGGGCAATGTCATGACACACTAAAGTAGAGTGCACAGTTTTATATACATATAGTGTTTTATTGTATATTATGATTTTAAGGGTAAATTCAAATATCTCAGTAGTTTTTAACATTTAGAAATATTGTATTTATTCATATTCAAATGTAAAATGTTTATTCTAGAAGGTTTGAGAGAAGGACTGGAAAGCTATCCAGGTCATTTCAAATCTGCTGACAGACTTGTGCAAAGCCAACTTCTGGCTCCAGCGACCTCTCTAGCAAGAGGAAAAAATCTCCCTTTTTTTAAAGCTCATGTCATTTAACAACCCTCCATCTACATCCAACTATCATTTGAGCAAGAAAAGAGACAGAATGTGACCCACTTGTGTTTTTGGCTGAAAGTAGGTGAGCGTGTCTGTCTGTCAGCCGGCTGTCAGACCCAAGGTAATGCCAGCCTCCAGTTTGAGGCGGGCGGATGTAAATCCTCCCTGATTTGCCAGCATGCTCATCCTCACAGTGGGAGGTTGACTCTCTAAGGGCAGCAGCAGTAGGACGGACAGGCATCATCTGAATAATGGCCCCTTTTTTTTTTTTTTGAACAGTCATGTCCTTAAAATGTGACTGTTTGGTAAAATAATCTGAGGTCCACCATGTGACGAGAGATTTAGAACTGTGCTGGTTAAACAAGCAGACATAGAATATATTAGTGGACTATTTATTATTTCACTAGAATTGAAAGGGAATGGGATAAATGTAATGTCTACATTAAAACAAAAGAAATAAGGTGCTGTGCTGCTGTGGAATTTTTGGTATGGAAACAGCCCATTGGTGCTCAAACTCTGCAGATGATGCATCTATTTTTTGTTGAGTCATGTTTCCCAAGATGTCAGCTCCCTTTCACAGCACACACACACACTCTCTGTTATTCAAATTAAACAGACATGATGTTGTTTAAATTCAGCTGCAATACAACTTAACTTCACATAGAACTAGTCTAAATCCCTGTTTAGACATCACATGTTGACATCAAATCTGGCCTTTTTCTCAAGACATTTTGACATTGGTGAATCATAAAATCAAATATGGCTGAATACAGTTTATCTGCTTGATTGTAGGATCCTGCTGGAGAAAAAAAAGAGGATCCTGCTAGAGTACACGCTAGTACCTTTGTTAATATCATTTATAATCTGAAAAGGGTTACATATTGAAGAACTAGAGGGGCCTTTAAAGGCAGGGTTGGTAATTTTCTAGAGATACACTTTTTAAGATTTTGGTTGAAATTGTCTTTAGATCCTGACAGACGTTAATAATTCATGTGCTCTGAAAAAGGAACAAAGAAATTTGATGAACTCCATGTCTCCCTGCTCGCTCTCTAGCCCTTGCATGCACCAGCCCACACAGTGCATGAAGGTGAGGGGCGTGGCTTTTGAGGGAGCACAGAGGGCAGGGGTGCAGACGAAGCACTGAGGGAATGCTACTTTCAAAATCATGCTAGTTTTCAAAATGTACCAACCAACCCTGCCTTTAAGTTGTGGAAGTTGGCCATAATTAGTACATTTAGCTAACTGGTTTCATATTAGAAAATAAATGCCTGAAGTTGAAATTATGGCTTTTGAAAATTTGATTTTCGTATTGTTAGTTCCTCTTTTTTATGATTATTATTTTGACAGTGCTTTTCCATTTTAATATTTCTGTTTTATTTATAACCTTAATTGCATATTAGTGGTTACTTTCTTTAATTGTGACATGGCAACCTTTAAGGACAGTAGAAGTACGCACATCATGTAGTTGACAAGCCCGCACTTACCCATTGCCACTCAATCGTTTCAATAATTACATGTTTTGATGTGAACATTTAAAAAAAGTACATTAAATAAATTGAACATGACTGAAGGTGAATCTTGATTAAAATACTTTTTCATCTACAGGCTTTCTAAAAGTAAAAGGATGATTACCTTCCCTGAGGAGTTTATGGTTATAGTGACGTTTGTTTGTAAGTAGGCTTAAAAAAAAATCTGCTGACCTGGTTTTTGGTGAATCCTCATAGAGGGATGTCACATGGGCTCAGGACAAAACTATTCCATTGTGCAGCACATCTGACTTGGCATAAGAGCATTTCATGTAGATGTGTGGCCTAGTCCTGGGTCTGAGCTCCCTCCTTGTCATATTAATTTATCTTAACAGTTAACCCATTTAATTGAAATCTTTTGTTTTTGAATGTTAATGTTAAGGATTCTGATATAAAAGCTCAAAACAATCATTCACCTCAAAAAAGTACAACAGCAGACACTGATTGATTCTGTTTTTTATTATTCAGAATTAAAGACATGGGCTCATGCAGATCCAACAAGAGGACGTGTGTGTGAATGGAAAAGCGACAGAGAGAACAGCCAAGAAGTGATTCTAATCAAATTAGGCATCAGCTGTCCACTGGTCCGGATTACTCTGCAAACCTTTTCCCCTAAACCCTGCACGACTCAGCTCAAATTCTCCTCACAGTCAGGTTAGGATCCGTCAGCTTCACAGTCACATAACAGACAACAAATATCTGTATCATTATTTTTTCTTTTTTTTACAAGCTTCCATCATCCAGAGGACGGCTGCTGCTCATATTAGAACCACTTAGCTACAGCACACCTCATAGTCAAGATGAACAAAACACAAGCACATCAGTTGTCACTGTCGCTGATTTAAAGTGCATTTTCATTTTTCAGCTTTGTTGGATTTGCAGAAGCAGTGGTCATAATTCACACAGGGGACAATGATGAAGGGGCCAACACATGGCTACAGTATTCACTACAGCATTAGTATCAGACGCAGTACTACTTCCTGGTACTAGTATTTCTAGGTCTAACAAGTTGTTCTGCATAGTCTGAGTGACAAAATGATGCTCTCCTGTTTATATCCAATACTACACAGGAATGATTGGAAAAAGAGGGATTAGGTTGATCTTATAATGCTTGTTCCATTATTATGTCTTTACGTATTGCCTGAATAGTTCCAGGCAAAAGGACAAAAGACAAGCATCTAGCTCCTTTAGTTGTGTTTGTCCTGTATGTTTTGTGCTACTACTCTAAGCTAAATCAATACTTTAGATTCCCATCCATGGATCATTTCAAAAAGGTCACCAGCACAGGAAATATCTCAAAATGATATCACTGTATGTGCAAGAAAAATGTTACAACATATAAAGGACCTGGGAGTTTCGACAACAACACTCAGGCCCGCAAACACACACACACACACACACTTAGACAGTCACTGCATATACAGCATGTCACGCCGTCTTTATAGGAAAATGCCCTCAGTCCAGCTAAGTTAGCTTATCTAAAAAGATCAGATTGTATACCATGATCCATGTAAAAAAAGAAAAGAAAAAAAAAAGAAAGAACAGAAAACAAAGACACAGACAATGCTGTTGAAACTATACGGGAACACAAGACAAACATTTTCAATCATAAATGTTGACACATTTACAATTTGACAGTATTGATGTTATCATTGAATCTGAAGTGTGAGAATATGTGAAACGTCGTGATAAGTGCCTCACTTGATGATTACATCAATGCCAGTACTAACTTTTGCGATATGGGAACAGACAGGAAGGCAAACTGGAATATTCTGATACAAGTCAATGGGTGCACAAGTTTTTTTTTTTTACTGGCAGTCAGTGAGTTACAGGTTCACAGACAGTGTTTAGACTGATACAAAAGGAAGACGGACAGTTGTTGGTACTGGTTAAGGAACCTTTTTTTTTTTTTCAATGTGATTTCCAGCAGGACAGAGTTACATTGACACACAGATGAATGATATTTTATCAGGACAGGACAGCCTTCACTCCTCGCTTCTTTTTCTCTCTGTTTTCACTGTTATACAAAAAAGTCATACAAAAATACCTCGACATTACATTCAATGAAGGAATTTGTCCTTTTCTGGAAAAAATAAGTGCTCTTGCATAACCGAACGTGTATGTCGCTTTTCCTTCTCACTCTCTCTCTCTCTCTCTCTCTCTCTCTCTGTCTCTCTTCAGGTAGTTTGTTTCTAGACAAAGACCACAAGGGAGATTCACAGTATCAGGGGAGGTTAACAGTTGGTGGCCAGACCGGTGCAAGTTTCACTTAAAGAAAAGTGCAGATTAAGTTTGGGACAGAGTGTTCAGGGCGTGCAAGAGTTCAGGCGCTGCCAGGTGACATGGCAGCTGCCAAGAGGGAGGGTTGGGAGCGGCTAAAGTTGCTGCGGTTCTGTCCTTGGAGGAGGACAGAGGAGACGATATAGGGGGAGGACAATACGTCACAACAACCAGGAGTGGTGTTTCGGGGGGGTGGGGAGTTGATGTCAATACTGGATCAGGGTCCTCCTAATCTAATCTAAGGTTGGCAAGAATCCAAGCTGAAACCAGCCGGTAAGACTTTGTTTGGTCTTGTTTTTCATCATAAACCAGCCAGCGTTGGGGGGTCCTACTGTTGGAGGGAGATGTGATGGTATTGGGAGGGTTTCAGGGTACAAGGTCCGAGGATGTCTCTCATGCCTCCATATACTGGGGAGGGGGCTCCTTGGGCGGTATGGCAATGGCCTCCTCGTACGGCGGCAGCAGAACCTGTAATACAATGAGAAACCCGAACAGGCTCAGTCTCAGTGCATCCCTCAAATATATCATCCATTCTGACAGTTACTGTTTTAAACCTCATCAGGTGTTTCAGCTGCATCTCACACACTACCTTTACCACCATAATGAGAGGGTCCTGCTCCTGTTTAAGATCCTGATTTTACCTAGAATGTATACCAAAAGTTATGACTGATTCTAAACACAAAACTCCCAGCTAAATCCCCCTGCTTGTTTTTGTCATATTCAAAGAGGTTAAAAAGAGAGAACCCTCTGTATATCATTCATTACTGTTTGCAATGGTTCTGCTTAAATGGATGGATGTGCATAATAGCTCTGATGTACAAAGAGTCCTGAACGCAAACGGTTCACAAAAAGGTTTAAGGTTGAAAGTGTGTCGTCATGTCTTCACATATTCTATTTTAAACTATTTTGTAGAGTTCTATTTTAAATAAAAGTGTGACACTTCCAAGTTAAATGTTGTCTTTAATACACATGTGAAGGGCCACTTGTTTTTCAGCAGAAACAGACTGGACAATAAATACAACTTAGCTATAAAATGCAACATTTAACAATTCAAAGCTGAGACAACTGTTGCTTTGTCTGGAACGACGCAACGTTTATGACTAATAATATATTTCTTGATAAGCATACTCTTTGCTATTTCAGTGTTCTGGAAAAAAAAAAGTATAATTTTCATTATCGTAATGATGTGGTGACATAGTCTGAGTCCAAATGTCCACCCTCTGAATACGTGTACTGAGCCCTCATGGAGTCCAGTCGAACCAACTGTGAGGTGTTCATCATCATTACGTCAAGCCGGTGAGGGCATGACACAGTATGACTTTCTAAGTCTCAAAAAGACTGTTCTTGAGGCTTAAATACTAAAATACTTAAATATTTTGATTACTCCTGTAACTGGTATCTCCACATATCTCATTGCACATTTATAGTAACTGCATAGTACAGCTATGTACACACTCAGTTAAGTCAGTGAAATACACATTTTGGGCAGCACATTATACAGCACAAAAATGTTATTTTAGACAGCCTCATTGATGGTTGCCGGTTTCTTCTCCATCTTTCATACTCTTTATTTATTCCAACCCTATAGAGGGCATTACTAGCTCCAAGGATAATGTCCACATGCATCTCTGGGCTTTGGAGGGCAGCTTGCAATCTCTCTATTTGAGGTCTTTCTCTGTAAATGGTGTTATAAAACCAGCACTGCTGCTAATTCAGTGACAGAGAGAGAGAGAGAGAGAGAGAGAGAGAGAGAGAGAGAGAGAGAGAATATGCTCTGAGGGGATGGAATTGTGAAGCAGCCAGGGAGGCCCGGCGAACACATCACAGAGAGGATTTGAAATGAAGCGGACAAGCAGACAATTATGTAACATGTCCAGAAGAAGAGAGGACGAACAGACATATAAACATGGAGGAGGAGAGAGAGAGTGAGAGAGAGCGAAAGAGACAACCCTTGTGCATTTTAATAGCATTTATATAAAAGCACAGCAGATAAGCAGCTGGGTACTTGATGTTTGCGGCAATAAAAAGCCATTTAGACACACTGCTGGCTTTTTAATAGTAAAAATAGATTGAGGGCTCAATTCATTCACCACTTTCTGTAGGGAGAGGGATAAAAAAAAAAAAATAGGTTGTCACTATTCTGGCTAATATAAAGACCTGTGTTGTACCAGTACTTGTTGTATTTAACTTTTAACTGTTCCTATTACTTCTCTCATTCAAATTTTAAAAGCACTTGTGGTCATCAAAGCTTGGCTGACTCAGTTCTTTTCCTATTTTTTGTAGTTTTTTTTCAGTAACTTTGGGGAAATTTTCCATATTCAAGGAATTATTATTATTTTTTTATTATTATTTTTCAACTTTTGATAAATCCTACCTTTCCCCCCACAGTATTCAACTTATTCAGTCAAAATCACATCTGCTACAATCTGAAGCTTTGTAGTCGATGTGACGCAACCTTCAGTTGAATCTTTCATCCATAATATCCAATAATAATAGTTGTTTTTTTTATGTATGCTTTACATGCAAGACACTTTTTATATATGTCTCAATTAAGTGTTTAATGCAAAATGTGTTTTGTCTTGTGGAAAAATGTATTCTTTGTCTTCATTGTATCTACCTTGGTAAGACCTGCAGATCACCTAACATTTCTATTCGCTACAAAGCCATTTGATACACAATATGATATTAGAGCCTACTGGGTTAGCCCCTGCATGTGGATGTGGAGTGGGTTTCGTGAGGTGAAAAACCTCAGTGAAGCAGCGCCACGACAGCAACAAGGACAAAGTGACAGATGTAGTGCATCGCATTGAGACGACAGCGAGTGTGAGGCAGATTAATGTCTTATGTATCTGTGATGAGGATTACAGACAGACGGACAAATGGAAACCGTGACTATGCTAAAACCCCATGAGTCAATGCTAAGAGGGGGGTTGGGGGGTTTGGGGGGCAAGTGGGGTGGACGACAGCCTGCTCAGCACTGCCAGCCAATCGCACCTCGGGTTGACCTACAGCACCTACGACACTGCTACCCACAGCACCAATGTCACTTCACTGTCAACAGAGATACACTGCATGGTCAACACTGAGTCTTGAGCCTGGACATTTTTCTCTACAATGTCTACGCTATTCTACAAATATCTACCAAAACAAAAACAATATTTTAGATTTCTACTTATCCTTAATAATGTGCTAAACAACTCCTAAAGTGTTATGAGAAGGATTTTAGTATTTGTCCCCTTTAAACAGCCTTTGTATTATTAATCCTGGTCTTTTTATTCTTCATTCTTGTGTAATTTCTAATTTGAAAGGATTCTTTTTGGCTAGGTTATTTTATGGCTAAAATCTTCACCTGAACATGAGTATAGATACTGTGACAATGACACCTATTCTTTATCCTACTTCATAAAGTATTTAGATTTTCATGGAGGACATTCTTACCTGAATCTCTTGCAAAGTTATTTTAAATAAGAAATTATGCAAAATCACAGGATTCAAAAAATAATCAAGCATTTTCTTGTCCAATTTTTGTAGTTTTTAAGTTTAGATTGAAAAAAATGAATAAAGAGACTAACAGATTTATACTGAAAGAGTAAATCAACTTGATCAAATGAAATGTAGTGAAGATAGAACTAATCTTTCCTTCTCTAATGTTGCATCTAACAATAAACATCACCAAACACTAAACAGAAAGTCACTGGTCTTTTTTGTGTTTGTGTTTTTTTATGGATTTATTTCACTTCTGAAATAAGAGGTCGAGGTTAATGGGGTTTTATGAGAATTTTAATTTAATTCTTTTTCAGGCTCTAAATTGCTGCTCTAAGTACAATTAATGCTATATAATCAAATCGAGATTTGTAATACTACATTCCTTACCTTGTGTATTAAGAGGTATCAACTCATTGAACTGCAATTACATACAAAAGTAATTATTGATTGATCTTAGTATAGTTCAATAAAACCTCACAGATGCTGGGAATAACATCTGACAAACTGAGAAAAAAAAACAGCTTTCATGGGATCATCTTTACCTTATGTAACAAACTGAACCACACCAGGAAAAAAAAGCAATGCTGCAAAAATGCAATTATACTATGATGTGAGTGAAGGGAATTTTCAATGTGTCCTTGAGGCTGGTTGTGAGGACTCACCGTGGTGTCGTTGGTGGTGACATAAACCAGAACCTCCGTGGTACCCCTGCCGCTCACGTATCTGTAGCAGTTCCACACACAGCCAATCAGGTAGGCCTGTCCACAGGAGGGGAAAACAAACACACGATGACCTTTAGCAACGCTGTATCCACTTTTCATTAATACTCGTGCTGCATGCTGTGATCTTATCCATTCTTCAAGGTTAGGGATGATGACAGCATGGAAACATCATGTGACTATGTGATACAGACTGTGGTAAATCTCCTACCTTTGCAAAAAGAAAGGTATATATACACCTTTTAAATTCACTACACGATGCTTTAAAGTTTAAACATTTCCTCTTAATGGTTCTTCATGGTCTTCTGACATTTTAACCGAGGCAACTCATCAGGCATCTCTTTCCTGAGGAAGGCTTTGGTAGCACTGGGGTAAAGGTTTGTCTGAGTTGGCAGAAGAACAGGAGGTTCATTGTCTTTATGTGTGAGTAGCCTGCTGAGTCGGTGCCTCTGCCAGCAGTAAGTGCAACCAACCGACCAACCAGCAAACCAGCCAGCCCGCTAGCCAATCACTTCACCATCTGCTGATTTGACCTAGTCACTTTGATACCAAGGCTAAATGGAGCTTTGCACCATGATATTATAAAATACACACGCACAAATATTCCTCTAAAGCAACATTTTGATTACACCAACGCCTGCTTTTTTGTGTTTTCTTTGTTTATATATGTTTTGTCTTTTTGTTGACCTCAAACAATCAGATTGTGCTTGTTGGAAAAATAGCATTTAGAATATAAACGTTAACATGCTTTACTCTAAGGGTAACCATACATTTTATATTCCATACTGTCTCCATCTCTTATTCATCCAGCTATCTACAACTCTGTATCTGCCATCTCTTCTCGCTCCAGCTCTCCTTCTTCCTGTCTGTCTGTATCCGTCATTTATGCCAAGTGCAGTCAAGTGGAGGATGTTGGCTTCAGCAGGAACTTTAGCAGGTGTTGCCTGTGTGCTGAGAGCTGAATGTGTCCTTGAGGTTTAAGATCTGGCTCTTTTCCAGTTGACTAACTCTACTATCATTCCTAAAGGAGCAAATATATACTGTACTTTAAGCCCATTCACAAAAGTGGGATTCTTTTTTCTTTTCAAGTATCAAAATTATGTGTGTGTAGTTAGAAGGCACAGGTTAATATTTGATGTAAAATTTCCCCATATTCTCCGTGCAACAAAGCTCTTTGCGTAGCCTTGACATTTATAGCTTGTGTCTCTGTTATTCCGGCAGTGTATCTTCCAGTGACTGCTTCCTATCATAAAACCGTGGCGCTGGCGTTGGATATCTGCCGAGAACATTTCCAATCTGAGCTTAGAGGAGAAACAAGTTGATTTGATTGTACAGATGACTGCAACTCCATGTCCCATCTCGTCCCAGAGCCCCAGAGCAAAACCGCGCCTGGAGAATCATCCATGCATTGAGGGGAAATTAGCTTGACAGGAGTTGGTTTCCTGTTGTCCCTGACCCACTGCTCTCTCTGACTGTGTGATAATCTCATGAAGAACATCAATAATGGAAATGCTCACACCGGCAGTGTAATTATACAAGCCATATGGTTCATGTCCATGTGCACAGTGTGAGACTTAATGGCCTTAATAATCACATGGCAATATCTATTAAAAAGCCCTCTACAAGGAACAAATGCTCAGATTATGTATTTTGCACCATTGATTTCAGATATCATTATAATTTAAGTTTTTCCTTTTCTAAGCATCCGTACAGTTTTACACACAATGAAAGAGGATGATGGGAGAACCTGCAGTGATACAGTGTGACTCTTGTGACCTTACCTTGAAGGAGAGAATGCAGCCGATGAAGAGGAGGACTGCAAAGACTAGGCACAAGTTGTTGGTGGACATGATGTCCTCTTTGTAAGGGAATGTCCCTGGCTGTAAGGGAGGGCGAGAGGTAGTGCGTAAGAAACCAAAAACAATTCAGAAAAAGGTAACACTGAAAGTATGAAGTTGTTTTTTACAGATCTGTTATTCCTCTTTTTTTTTTTTTGCACTATTACCCAACAGATGCAACACAACCCCTTAATCTGTCTTGTTGTTCCTGTATTACAAGTCATTTGTATTGTAACTTTTACAATTTTATGAGAATAAAAAGTAGATCTGTGCTGGGAAATATGTAGGTGTTTGGGTTGGATTGAAGTGGTTCTCACCAGCTGCTGGAGGTAGTCCTGCACCGTGTTGGGATAAACCACCACACTAATGGCTACAAGTGTGTTAAGGGCAAAGTCGAAGATTTGGTAGCAGAAGAATGGAATGATCCAAGCAGCGTGTTGCTACGTGGGAGAGATGGAGAACAGGTGAAGGAAAACATAAAGCACAGACCTGCCTCTGTGTATAAACAGTAAATATATAAATATTTTTTCAGACTTCTGTTTTATTTTGTTTGTTTATTTACCTTGTAAGCACCGTACGTCGCCATGCCACATATGAGAATCATGAGTAGGGATATTGCAGTGGCTATGCAGATATCTGCACAAAGAAGAGCACAAAGAAGCACAGGGATGTGAGGACAGATAATCTAGATTACCAGTGATGAGTAACACTAAACACGTCATTTCTCTGGAACATGTGAATCCACTGACGTAATCCCAAAGTCTTTATTAGGGCATTGGTTTTAAAAACACCTTAAGTAACGCCACTATATTTAGCACCTTATCTGCCTGGGACAAAACATGATCAGCACGTGGACGTGGGTAATCGTTATGCAAGATGTTCTATATTTAACAAAATGTAACACTCTTCTCACATTCACGTTACAGCTGTGAAAGCTGCCGGATGAGGTGCTTGTCAGCATCACTGTAGCTCTGTTAGTAATAGACAAATGTGTGCTGATTAGTGGAAGGGAAGCCCGACCACTATGCAGTCCTGTCACTTAAATTACACAGAAACAGTACTGGCTGTTTCTGGCTGTTTCTGGCTGACTGGAATCAGGGCATCCCTGTTATCAGTAAGAATGAAAGTTTCAATGTAAAAAAGTCAGTATGTCATCAGTGATTATTGCAGTACTGACACTTTGTTATGATCCAGGAAATGATGATACCCTTCATCTTAATCCTTTAACACTCATACTAGAAATAGCCTCACATACAACACAAATAAACAATACATAAATATAACATGTTCACTGCCCCTCACCTTTAACACATCATAAAATGCATATTGTTTATTTATTTTTTTAAACTATGACACATGCTGCGACTGTTTCACAATCCTTCATGATGCCACACAGGCAACAAAGCAATCCAACAAGAGGAGAAAGCCAAGATGGCCGCTCTAATCTGACAGAGAATTAGAGTTCGTTTTTTAATCAGAGTGGCCAGTGACAGGGTCTGTGCTGTTCCACAGGCGACTGTGATAATGATAGCTGCCGGAGGGGGGGAAACACTGAAAACACACATACTCTCTGATTTGTTCTCTATGAAGCTGGGCCGACTCAGCTATGTCTGTGCTGAGAGCAGCATTATGGGCAAAGTGGTGGTCGGCAGAAAGGAGAGGTGATTTTAAAGCTGCAGAAATGCACGGGGCTGTAATGACGAGTTAATCGCAAGAACAAATAACTTCTGTTTAAAACAGTTACAGTGTTATTTGCTGAAATGAACAAGATATGACTGAATTTATATATTTTTTAAAAGAGAAAATATAATAAGATTCATAGATGTTTTCTGGGCAGCACAAATACACATATTTGTTTAAGGAAAATACAAAAAAAGAAATATCTGGATGACAGACAAAGGTCATACATCTCAATCATATTGTAATACTGAGCCTTTATAGAAGATCTTTTCTGTATTCTTTAGATACTGTAGTACTCAGATATAACTTCAACAGTGTATATATTTAATTTAAACTGGGTTCAATTTAATATGGAAATGTTCCCTATGGTAATTAGGCCTACATTTTAGGATATATCTGTGTAAGAGTTGAACAAAATCAGATTTCCTATAAATGAAATATTGACTGTGTGCAGCTTTATGCTTGTGGAGATTTAAACACAGTTATGTATAAAGCATATCACTTTTTTTAATTCCCATCCAAACTGTCCTGGTACATCCTGAACTTTGTTTCAGTAGAATAATCAGAATCTGAACATCTGTATATGTGATCCTGAGGGATTAGTTGCACTCACTTGCATCATCCATGACATCAATGTCGGTTCCGAGCTCAGAGCTGGTAAGGTGGTAGCGGTATTGAACTGGGTCATTGAGAGCCGACAACAGGATGAGTAGGACCACGGCATTGATGAGCTGTTGGGAAAAGAAGATCAATATTTATACTACATTTCACAGTGGAGTGATGCCAGTGTTGTGTTAGCCTTCAGGATTAACTGATCTGATGGATCGGGGAGTTTTTCTTGGTGAGAGTAAAAGTATTTTAAATGGGAGCACCTATAGGTGGGATAAAGAATGAGATATTATTTGAATAGAGTTGCTCTTTAAGATTTAATACAGCTCTGCATGTGGCTAGATCTAGTGTAAAACAACAACAACAACAACTTGATACTATATGAAATACCAATTGGGGCTATTCTTATTGTATTATTAACTCTCGATTGATTAAAAAAAATGCAATTAACAGGTTCCTGGATCCCAAGGCCAAATATCGAAATGGCTTGTTTTGTTGCACAAGAAGGCTAACAATCCAAAATCAAAATACAAGGCATTAATTAAATTATATGAAATGAAGAAAGGCAATAAATGTCAACATCTACTATCCTTTAAGTGACTTCAAGAGAAAATGTTTTTTCTTCATTGTCTAAATTATTGTGAAGTATTTGCCCAGGGTTTCCGTAAAGGTTCAAGTCCAGGATTGAGCAATGTCAAACTAGTTAGATCATAAATGATGACCTTGTTATTCCTATATGTCCACCTTCTAGAGGTAACTTAACAGGTTGCTTTATCTGGCCTTGGCTCGATGTAAAGACTTATATTTAAATGAACCAGGGTCAAACAGAGAGAGAGACTAATGCTTACTAAAGGTCAGGGATTTAACAGGCTTAGTGAACTATGTTTAAAACTTTAGGTTATCTCACATGCCAAAAACGGAAGCAAACTCATAATTCTAAATGAGGACGAATCAAACCATTATGATACAGGACAACAAATAGTGTAATGCAAGTCCATTTGTTCAAAGAAATGCCCAACAGCATTTCCATAGACTGAACGAGTATTGTTTGTTATAAGCATTCATTTGACACAATTGTTTACATTCGCAGCCCAAAAGAAGCTTTGACTGAAACATACTTATGCTTAACATCTTAAACTCTTGTTTAATTTGTACAAATATTCAATTTACTGAGAATATCCTCAAAATGGCAATCAGAAATGAACGTCGAAAACAAAAACAGCAGTCGCTAAGTGACGTCACTTGATTGCCAGCTGATTGTAATTACCTTGTCTTTCACAATTTAACACACATTTCTTGAAATTTCGGCCTGACATCGAATGAAAAACGAGACTTACCATGTACCATATTCCCAGAATGATGGTGCCCGTCCGTACATGGCAGCAGAGGCAGCAGCTCGTCGAGTACCACCGGTCCCACGGCGAAATCATGATTTTTATCCTGCTATGAATTTAGAGCTAGTTCATGAATGCTGCCGAAAATGTAATTGGTCACGGCTGAAATGTCCCAAAAGAAGGTGGAATAGTTCACGTCCTCGTCCAGCGTCCGTGTTGAAACGATGTTTGCCTGTTTGTGTGGACTCCTGGCAAACGGAGAGCAGCCGCTAATCTGGCTCATCCCGGAGTCACATGACCAGGGGAGGATTTTGACCAAGATCCGAGGGATGGATGGATGCTTAATAATCATCCAGAATATTCCAGCTCAAGCCATACATGGCCCTTTCCTTCTGTCAACTTTTATTTTATTTTTTTTGTTTTTTAGTAAACAACCTTCAATTACTTGCAATTATTAACATTGCAATTCACTGCTTTACAAGTGTCTATTTATTTACTCGGTCACTGCACTTTAACTGTCTATTTATTTATTTAGTCATTGCACTAAAACTTTATTTACTCATCCAGTCACTGCACAATAATAACTGTATATATTCTTTCAGTCACCACAACTGTCTATTTATTTATTATTATTATCATTCATTCACTGAACAGCAATTGCTCTGGCCACTTTTTACATACTTCTCTGTCATATCACCACAAATATATTGTTGTTGTTGTTTTTGTAAACACTGCTGTTTAGGATTGCTGCTAACAAAGTTTCGTTGTGTCCTTGTATACAATGATAATAAAGATTCTATCTATCTATCTAACTAACCAAAGAAGAATTTAAAGTATTTTTAATCTGAATTATTTCTAGCCAACACTTGATTAGCTGGCACTAGTCTGCCCACATGGATATTTTACATGTATGAACAGAATCTGCTTTACCTCAGTGAGGAAGATTCAAAATCCAGGGTTAACAGTATCATTTAATGAATGCAAATGTATTTTCCCCAAACAGAAGTGTATATCTACACAATATGTAGCCTGTTGCTATGGTGTTACAGTAATAGTGAAAGTAAAAAATGAATTGTTTGTGCATTGGGTAGTATCCTATTTTGTAAACTTACAGTGTGATGCGTTAAAACAGATCTAAATATATAATGATGTATATAATGAAATCTGCATAGATTTACAATGTGGGGTATCTTAAAACACTTTTTTATAAAACAAGCTCAAGAACAAATTTGAAGCAGAATCACATTCAGTTTAGTGGATGGAGCCTTGAATATTCTCTAACCATATTTGTGTGTTTCTTAAATCATTATACCAGCAAATGTGAATTTAGTTTTTACCAATCATTAATTCTACTGCGGAAACATGTAGCTGAATGGGCTGAGTTGAATTTTAATTTGAAAAACATAAAACGATTCAGTCAAGGATTAGATTGATTTTTTATGTCACTACATTATCTATATTTTTGATATTTGCAGAACCACTGGACTAAATTAAACCAAGAGTTTAAGTGAAAGATCTCTATGGACCTTAGACGCAACACTTGACATACAATATAAAGAACTGTGCCAGTAGGAGCAGTCATTTTCCCCATGCCCACTGTCTGGGCAAAGTGGACAAGAGTGCCATAAGGCCCCAAAACCTCAGGTTTTCACTTTGTGGCAATTAATGAGTAATATTTTGACAAGTTTACTTTTTTGGTAATATGCACTATTGATGCTGATGTTATTTTTACTGTGCTTTGAGAATTTGGTTTGAAGAGGAGTCCAAAATCTAGTTTAAGGCCTTTAATCTTTGAGCTAATATTGTGCTTACATGATCCATTCAAATAAATCTGTGTTAGAGAGTCATTGTTAAAGTTTGTAGACCTGTATGTTGTTCCAGTGTAGGAATAATGTATACAATGCACAGAGGAGAAGGAAGGGGGTAATGACAGTGCTCCCCACACGTCAGCCTGTCTGTGTCTCAATGTGACATTTTGCACACTTTGACCTTCACTTTTTAAACACATGAATGTTCACTTGTTGTTTTCTGTTTTTCTCTCAGTTTTAGAACAACATGAATCTCTAGCACAGGTCACTTTGTCCCCTGTCTGTGCAAACATCCTGGATCAGGCCCGACAGATGGGCCCCGGTGACCACAGCTTTAAGCTCTGGTGGGCGGACCGCATCATCGTCACATTAGGGGATTTTCCTCTCCTGCCATGACTTAATACTGTCCAGACTGCCACCTCTTTAAAGGCTAGAAGCACAGGCTGAAGAGGACATTGCAATGGAGTGTCCATTTTAAGATGTTCCATAATACAAGTTACAGAAAGTGTTTCATCTCTAATATAAAGTATTCATGTAGGTGTAGACATAGGACATAACAGCAGGAATTCAACATGTTTTTCTTAGGCCTGTATGAGCTAAATTCAAACCAAAAGCCAGTATTTGGGTGAACTCATTTGTGAGGTTTGCCCTCTAATGCTGCCACACTTTTTTGGTGAAAGCACTTCCGGTCCGACATGAGGACTTTGGAAAGATCTTTTTAAGGCAGCATTAGCAAGCGATTTTCATAACACGGTTTAGAGCAACTGCTGGGCCGTCCATTAGAGAGTGACCTTTACTATTATAATGCATCTGCCTTTTATACACACAAACATAAAAGAGTAAGTAACACAACACTCCAAAACAAAACATGACATCCCTCTGAAGTGAAGGTAAATGGACAGGGAGCCAGAGATTGAGAGAGATTAAAAGCGAGTAAATCCTAAATAAACTGAGAGATAAGGGATGGGGGGGGGAGTGATGAAGAGGAGGAGGTCAGGCTCTGTAAGCGTGCCATGCGACTGACTGGGGCAGAAGTCTGGCCTCAGAATGGTCACTAGAACCACTCCAACCGGGGCCAGGCTGCTGACACACATTTGCTCAGTCACATGTAGTGAATCAACATTGAACTAATCACAGTTTGGGGATTAGTTAGACAGAAAACATCAAAACAAGATCAGGTCAGAAAGAGAGCATCATTTCAGTGCTGCATGATTGGAATTCTGCTAAAAGCATGGTGCTTTTTATTTATATTTTTAGGCTATTTTAGACACAAAACATGATTTAATGTGAATTTATTACTAAGTTAGGATGATTTTATTCATGAGGTTGTGCCTGTGGTGCTACACCATCTATGAAATGTTTGTTATTTTCCTTTCAAAACATGAAGAATCATTACAGTCCCTGGAGAATAAAAGCTAAAAATAAGAGACTTGAAGTTACAGTAAAAAAACAAACTTAGTGATCCTCAGAGACAACACAGCTTTTCTATGACTTGATATCAAGCAATTCTTATTTATTTTTCATCTTTACCAAACAAACATAGAAATTTTATTTATATCTTCTCAATAAACAAAATCATTCACATAACTGCTTTCTAGAGACAAGTATATAAATACATAGATTGGATTTTAATCATCAGTAAAAATTTAACAAAAACAAAAAAAAGGTTGCCTGAAGCCACAGCGACATATCATTTTGTTCTATCAGGTCTACCAAACACTATGTATCAATACCATCTGATCAACATGTTGATGCTCTAAGACTCTTTGCCTAAAAACACAATCCTGTTACTGTCCGCTCCATCCGAGGCGCACAGAAAGAGCTGCAGTTTGTCTCATTAAAAAGCTAGTACAGTATATACACTAAGTTGTACTCCAGGAACAAGTACTTACAGATAAAGCAAGAGATCGTTCTTATTTCATGTACACAAGTACTATTATCAAAGACATGCAAGATGAAATTACTTTCTGACATCAAAACTTGCAACTGGATGGAAACTCTAAAAAAAAAAAAAAAAGATGCCAATGTACTTTCTATACAACTACAGGTTAAGGCAATGGAATTAGATTCCGTTTAATATATGTTAAATATGTGTAATCGTGTATGTGTGTGTCTTGTTTTAAACCAACTCTGATGTAAAATTAAAGCTGCTCCTTATCATATTTCTATGTTTTCATTGTTAACCCCAAACATCCCCCCCCGCCCCGAAATCATAAAGTCTGGAACTCAGGTGCAAACCTCAAAAAGTTACACATTTCACATTCCAAAAAAAAGGTAGTACAAAACAAGTCATTGACATCAAAAAGGAACTCCTTGCTGCCTTTTGCACAGTGCAATCACAGAACTGGAAAAAGCCCTTACAATCTGTACATATGGCATGGCTTTTCTAGCACAGAAACTGGAAGAAAATGCTGTTAAAAAAAAAAAAAAATACAATTCATAGATTGCAAAAAAAAGGGACAGTTAAGTCTCTAGAAAATCAACGCACAGTTTAGTCAGGTAAAAACAGATGCACTCAGAATGATAAAAGTGGAGAGACAAAAGATCAGTGCTACTGATTTATGGGATTAACCCACTCCATCTTTACTTCACGTTACAGTGCCCCCTGGTGGTTCATACTAGATACTGTGCTCTCTACATAGCCGTTAGCAACAGTCCCCAAAGTAAAGCCAGAATCTGTTCACAATGGCCCACATTTCAAACTTAAATATGGACATCTTGGAATTAGATATCAGACGGAATTGTGTCTTTTCAGCTGTTGGTGTGCTCCGAAGTGACTTCATAATTTTAACAAACTTTCTAAAAAACACTTCTTGAGTGTTTTCAAGCCGGCTCTGACCCTCAGACTGCAGTGCATTTAACAATATTTGGTCAAAACTACAACTCTTTGGAACAACCCATCACCGAATGGACAGTCAAGTGGTGGTTTAAACTGTAGGAAAAAGACTGAGAAGATTCTGTCTTCAGGACACTTCAAACTGCGCTGTTCTGATTTAATTAGAATTCACCATGACAACAGCTGCCACTACGGATAGGTAACGGATGAAGTTCACATTTCTTTTGTATTCTGATAAAGTTAAAGGTCACTGTTGATCATTTATGTTTCCCAAACTAACTTTATGGTGATTCTGTAGTAAAATGATTACACTGTAAATGTAATAAATAGGGCATTAAATCAATTTACAATGTTCAAAATTGAATACAAGGCTTCAGCAGTCAGGGATATCATTTTCAAGAGCCTGTCTTTGTTTTGTGGGGTGAAATGTTGATTTATTTTTATGGTTTTGATATGGCAACAAAACTATGTATGAGACTAAGACGTGTGTGGGGACACAAAAAAAGTGATGGATTTGGCTAACACTGCAGATTTTTGCGACCTGTTTCCGTCATTGTAGTTGCACTTTGTGGATGGAAAAAGTGTGTGTGTGTGTGTGTGTGTGTGTGTGTGTGTGTGTGTGTGTGTGTGTGGGGGGGGGCAGCGGGGGGGTCTTCATATACAATAATTAACATTTAAAGATCTCAGAAATAGGCTTCAAACTACTTTTGAAATATTGACATTTAAGTTTCTGAAACGTTTCCTCACGTTGGGTTTGACCTGGGCATTGTCATTCTTGAACATTAATTATGAGATTTAAACTGATTCCACAAGCCAATCATAAGAACAGTCACACAGCAGCTATTCAGCTATTTCAAGCAAGCAAGAGCAATGTGTAAGAATGGTTAAAGACGAGTGTTACTGACATTTATTTTTTCGCTGTAGGAATTTAGTACTCATCATTGATGTCTAATATTGGCTGTGGTTATCGAGCTTCTGCTGAGCAAGTTCAGTTTTCTAATCAATGCATTGTGTATTCTACCTGCTTACTATAATATGGATAACAAAGCACTTTGTAAGCTATCACTATTTTTACCATCTGAAAGTAATAATTTAAAAAAAGGGGGCCTCTATTTCCACCTAAGATTCTTACACAGGTGGCTCAAACATTTTATAAAGGGGTGAACAATGCTAATAGTCAATGTGTCATTACTTTGTGTGGAGCCAGAAAGAAGCTGATCAAAATGACATGCGTCGTGTCTACAAAGTTAAAATGAATAGTCTCAACAGAAAAATGAGCTGCGTTTGATCTGTAGGAGAAAAGTTCATTTTTACTCAGATTCTTTCTGGATGCTTGATGAGCTCTTAAGTTTATCATGAATGCATTTGGACTATTTTAAGCCCATTTTCCGAAGATGTTAAGTGCAGGCTTGTGATTCTGTACTGAGATAGATTAGAAAAAAATCAGAACCAATTCTTTTCAAGACCAGCCGTAAAATGTAGCTTACGCTAACCTAATTCAATCGTTAATATTTGTGGTCTTATGGGCATGTGGGGAAAATACAGAGTGCATTTGTCTGGGGAATAAATATGTTTGTTTTTCTTGTGGCATTTATTTTCATAGTAGAAAAAAAAACCGTGATGGATTTTCAGGTTTACCACAGTTAAACTTATAATACCACAAGTTAAACAATGGGTGGAAAAAAACACTTGTGATAAAAATAATATTTATTGAATGAACATGTACCTTCACTGCCACCACTTCCCCTAAACTCCAACCTGGTTGCAGAGTAGCAAATAGTGCAAATTAGTTAAGTTTTCAGTCCATAGGACCACATTTCATCTCTTTGTTAAGTCAAGCAGATATTATCCACTGCTTGTTTTCTCTTTGTTTCATGAACTGATAAACTGTTGATGTATCTCTGAAAGACGCTCTGTACCTGGTAGTTATTGCATGTGACACAGTTAACAATCATTTGCATATGCTCTGTCTGGACCTGTCATGAGACTTCATGTTTCCCTTCGGGCCTTCTTCTTCTGGGAGGGCTTCGGAGGCTCCACAGTCGGCTCAGACTTCTCTGCAAGTAGGTTAAAAAGGAAAATGTATTTAATAACAAAAATACTGTTTAGAAGGAGTTTTCTTCCTTTATGCGAGTAAAAATGAATTAAACTACGAGTTGTTGACACTTACTCTGAGAGGAGGATATGCTTGGATTTTGCTTCTTAGAAGCCAGCACAGGCAGCTCTTGGGGTTTCACCACTGTATCGACCAGGGGCGCTGTGCTTAGCGTCTACAATCAAACATATGCAATGAGGTCAAACAGGGAGAATCTTTTGTGCAAGATGTTCATTTCTCTGGAGACTATTGTTTTTTTTCTTACCTGGGCCTCAGGGGCAGACTCCTCCTCGGTTTTCTTCTTCTTTTTCCTCTTCTTCTTTGACTTGGCTGCCCCGTCAGAGGGGTCCTCAGCATCCTTCTCATCCTCCGATACCTGCCATAAAAATATTAAGGTTAATCATACATTACAATAAATAGGTCAAAGTAAAAGTGATGTCCGTGATAGATGGATGGCACGAGGGATGGGAAAAACATGAATAAGGATTTGAAAGATCCAACATTTATTCTGTTTGTTTGATGAAGTGTTGATCATCTTGGTGTTTGTATTGCTGTCCTAATGATGTTCCAAATAGAATAAAAAAGGCAATAAAACAAAACTCGTATTAAGGCCTTGCATATAGAGGGATTTCTAACAGACGGACTATGCCACGTGGATGATTTGGCAAAGAGTAAGTGAGACCTTGTGTGAGACAGGCTGTTCCTTTGGTGGAGGTGCTGATGTCAGCAACACAGGAGGCTCCTCGTAGTTTCCCCAATGCTCGGCTGGAGCATTCCAGTCAGAGCTGGGGTCCGCTGATGCAGTCCCATCTATGAAAACAAACGAGGAAGATCTCATCAATAGGATGGCTTTAAAAAATATTGTGAATTTAGAAGCAGATGGATAGAATGTTATTCAACATGGACAATGCAATTTCATTGGACTAATGAATGCATTTGTTTGAGTGTTTTAGCACACATGCAAATTCTTAACACTTGTCCACGGGAGGCTTTTGAAAGTATTTGTGTAGGAAGGGATATTTTTGCATCTCTTAAACCAATCAAAACACACATGTTACATTTGAATTAAGGATTGTACCTTATAACATAGCCACATTTATTATTTTCACCCAAGTGATTATTATGAAAAGTTGTTGAAATACTCACTGGATCCAGACCATTCATCGTCAACATCTGGGCTGCTTGCCCACTGAAGCTCAATTGAATTTGATATTGGGTCTAAAGGAGAAGGGGGAAGGAGATTGAGAAAGAGTGGGAGGTCAAAAAAGAGTAGTAAATCATTAATTTGTGCTGAAAAAAGGGAAAAAACTACATCAGACATTCTCCTTATGAATCATCCTGTAAGCACAGTGTGGTGAGCTCAATTCCAACCTGTGGTGTTTCGTCCCAGCATGGAAAAGGTCACAGGGTTGAGGTCAGTCTTCATCCGGCCATCGATGCCACTCCATGCTGCTGGTGAGAGCACACAGTAAACATAAGTTAGGGATTTTATGGCCGGAATACTAAAAACAGTGAAGCTCTGATGTGGTGATTTAGTCAAACAAACTAACTGATTTGGTAAAAAGGAAATCAGTATGTTTTATACAGCAAAAGCAATATATAGCAAAGGTAACATACATCAGAAAATATATTCTTCATTTCTTTTCTACAACCATATCATCTTTCTTGAAAAAAGGACTTTGTATTGCTCATACTGTTATACTCCACTATCAATATCCTGATTTGTGCTTTCAAAAGATTTACCCAGATCAAGGTGTTACCTTGGGTCTCCTGGGCCCAGGACTGGCGCTTAGGTGGGGCTCTGTAGAGTGTAGTCGCTGGGATGGCGCTCCACTTGGCTCCCTCCATCGCACCCATCTGACCTGGGATCAAAGAAATGTCAGTCCAACCTCCGCCATTCACTGAAGGCTCCTCTCTCCAGCTTGAAGGCACTGAGGAGAGATAACACAGGTCAGACTGACAGTGTTGTGCATCCATCACTGTATCTTGATATTAAACAAAGATTTAGCTGGAAAATGGAAAAAAAGAAAAGAAAAGGGATGCATTGAAATATTTTTTTCCACTAAAGTCACATAAAATAATTGTTAAGGTTTATTCATACCAGCTCCACTGGGTGCATCCCCTTTTCCAGTTGTTCTTGAATGCAATGACTCTAAAACATTGTGGAGAGAAACAATGCTTGAGTAACATACAACATGCACATAACGTGCATCAGTGCTATTAAGCCATCAGGGATCTGTTCACTTGTGGTGCTACATATATGCTAAGCTCAGTATGAATACATTTTGATCACACTTTTAATGACAGTGTCACAACAAATCGCTGCTATATAACGTGTTTGATGATTACCGTTGTGTCCTTTGCTCTTCTTGGTGTTGGTAGGTGCTGTTGCTACAGGGGCCTCCACATTGGTCTTCAAGGCATCCACCCCTCCAGGGCTACCAGAGTCCTCTGGGCCCTTGTCCTTCCTTCGCTGCTGCTTCTTTTCTCGGTTACTGACTTTGGTCTCCCATGCACCTTGTTGACACAAAAAAACATCAACAGTTAGTTGACTTGATATGTATTTAACATGGGGAATGAGTTAGATGATTTATTTAACCAACAGGCTGACTACACAGAAATGAGGCTGTAAACTGGCTAAAACTAGTAAGCCTTTTTGAAAGTAGGAAGTTAACATTAAATTATCCCACAGCTGATTCTTACCATCATCAGGCTCCTTTCCAACAGTCGTAGACACATGCTGGACTGGTTTCACATCCGCCTTAGTTTTCTTTTTGTTCTTTTTCACCTGAGCTGGAGCCAGTACCACTTGAACCTGCACATGTAAAGAAAAACAAGTAATATTTCAAGTCAACAAAGCGAGGCTGCTGGAATGATTGTATCGCTTTATTTTGGCAGCAAATGTAAAATACCTTCTCGGTTTTGATCAGCGGGGCGGGCTTAGAAACGGGCTCAGCCACTTTAACTTCCTCCTGGGCTCCAGTCACTGGTTGTCCATTGGATTGAGTCCTCTGAGGGGAAAAAGATAAACATATAGTTAACAAGACGAGGTTAATCACCCAGTAATAAACAAGAAACTTACCTTAAGTCTATTCACATGCCTTTTATTTAGAAATATTACAGTTTGAACACACGTAAGAAATATTGTTTCTGTTTTTAGTCAAATCCAATTCTTTAGTTCTTCTGTAAACTATGAATCTTGAAGACAGACACGTTTGGCTGTGGATTGAATAACTATTATAGTATTTATGTCTCACTTTGTGTTTCTAAAACATTTACATTACTGACTAATCAACAGCTTTAAGTTAACCTACCATGTTCATAGAGGTTTCAAAGGTTCAAAAGCTACTAATACAATTTATTTGTCTGACACGTTTATTCCCAATTTTGATTTAAAAGTTAACTAAAGCAAAGTGATGCTAACGTTAATGCTTGACCTAGCTTCCCTCTTTGACAGATGTCTTTACACGCAGCTAAGGAAGCTAGCTCAGGCTAAAACTTCACATTGTGGTTTGTTTTAATTCAAACTAACTGGGTTTTTTGGTCATGTTGTAAGTGTGGCACAGGGTGATGGTGATGTCGTTCATGTGGCAGGCTAACTGTAACCCATGTTGAACGTCTTGTGTAGATAAAACAACAATGGGTTTAAATGTACACGCTCGCTAAGGCTAACCAGCTTATACACCGCATTAGCTGAATTGTTTCTGGACACATGCATGAATGGGCCTAACTAAACGTTGTGACCTAACTGCACTGTAACGGTGCCTACTATACCTTTTCAGGTGTTTTCTTCTTGTTCTTCTTCTTCTGCTCCTCTGGTTTGGCAGGTTTAGCCACACTGGCCTTGTCGGGCTCAGCGCCGCCCTGGGTGATCGGGGATCCCCGCTGTTTCCTGACCAGCAGCCGGCCACAGAGAGCGGCCCAGGACAGGCTGAGTAACACCAGCACCCCCACAGCGGCCGTGGACAGGATGACCCACGTCGGGTACTGCTCAGGCTTCAGGTCCAAATCTATTCCGAACTGGGCCCGAACATATTCATTACCCAGCGACAGGGCCTCCCTCAAATGGGTGGAAAGCAGCTCGGCTTTCTCCAGCGCCAAGCCTTTCAGGTCTCCAGCCATCTTTCGATATCGCGTAAACACTACTAACGGTTAGCTAAATGCTAACAGGATGCTAACCTTACAGTCTATGATGCTAGCGGAGGAGTGGCTAACCTTATTTCACCGTGTCGAGAAATAACAGGACAACTCATTTCACACTCAATCAAAAACGCTTCATTTAGGACGCTAGATTCAGTGAATACCTAGGCAGTGTCTCTATAAAGCATGGTTATTTATTTTTACCGAGTCACCCTTAAGGCTATGAGGGACAAAAAATGACTAAAGTATAAATAAATTAATAACTCAATTAATGTGGAAATGTATGCATTGATACATATATAACTGTAGAAATACGCTAATAAATGAATAAATACATGTAAAAATATATAAATAGCCTTTTTCATTAACAAATTGTATTTATTATTTATTCATTGATGTATTGTTTTCAGCATTTATATATTTATTGATGCATTTATTTAATTGTTTATTTATTTGTACATTATTGTATGCATTTCTACCAACATTTATTTATACTTTAGCCATTTTTTGTCCCTCATATAAGGCTGCCGTTTTTAAGTTGGCTGTAATTATATTCCAAAGTTAATGGACACAAATATATTTAATAATATATTAATTACAGTAGGGATTTGATGATTTGCACTGAAATTCCGTGTTTCTTTAGTTTTGTTTTTTTCAATTTATTTTAAATAAGAGCATATTTGATGAATCACAGAAGAGGACATGGCCCATTATTCAAGTTTACTTTTTCGTTAAATTTTATTTTATTTACCATTTTGTTTTGCACTATTTAGAATTTATTACTGTAAATATTATTTATCTTATTTTATCTATTTTACCTTATTTTATTTTATTTTATCTTATTTTGGTTGTATTGCACCGTGGGATGGAGACAAACGCAATTCTGATTCCACTGTATGTCTGGCATATTTTGAAATTGACAACAAATTTGACTTTGACTTTGACTAGGAAGGAAGTTCTATGTGAATAGCCAATAGTTTATGTATGCTCAGGTAAGACACTTTGAACTGAAGTATAATCATTGAATATTAAATATAGCCAGGACCATTTAAATCAGTAACCTATTAGTATTCTCAGATCAATCTGCAAGCAACTGGCTGAAGGGTAGCCTAAGTCCTGAAAGGAGCACAGTGTCTTGAGGTGTCATCTGAACTAGAGGGTCCCTTTTAGCTCCTGTTACTTTCTTGAGACAGTAGATTTTGAACTGAACACAAAAAAGACAAATATTTTGTCAAACAGAAACTTCATCTAAGATAAAAGCTCATTTTATTAGGGAAGAGTGATAAAATATATTCTGCAGATGTAAGTAGAGTAAACATAAACTAAACTGTACTCAAACAAAACTATTTTAAGTTTGCAAAAAAAAACTACTCAAGCCAAAGTAGAAGTTATCATAAAACCTACTATTATTCAAGCATACGCAGAAAAAGATGCCTTCAATAATGATATAAGCCTACCATCAGCCTCAGCATGTTAACATTGAGATACAAATGTCAGTTTACTTATACTGTATGTGGTGCAGGTGGAGATATAGCAAGATTTAAACATTTCCTGCCAACTACAATCAACAAGATATCAAGTGTTGTAAAAAAATATCAGATTTAAAACATGTTTGAATGGTTTCAGAAGTGAAAGTATGCAGGATAAAAAATAAAGATGAATTGTGTGAAAGTAGCTGAAACAGCATGAATAAAGAAAACAGCTGAACTAAGAAATTATCATTTTCAAAACATTTTATTGACCATTCAAATGTGTGCTAAAACAAATCACTGCTTCCTCAGTTGAATATATTCTTGATATTAACCACCTTTAAATGCCCCATTTCTTACAGAATTATCACCTTTATCATCTCATAAACGTTTTAACTTTAACTGTTCATATACCTGCCCAGAAGTTTGTTGAAGTCTTAAATAGCAATTAGCAGCGTTTTCAAGGCTTTTTCTTCTTCCAGTTACATTTTTCAAGCTATTTGACTGCTAACTAACAAACCCAAGTTATAATTCTCAAACTCTACTGTAAAAAACAACATAAATGGTTGCTGAAAATTGCAACTGTAACCTGACAACCATTGTTTTGTACTTTATTATACTGTGAAGGTATTTTAAAGGTATTTTAGATTTATTTTTTGCAAGTACCTCTATACAAAAAAAGAAGAAATAAATAGGTTAAAAGTAACAAAAGTAACAAATCTTGACAACATTATTTAACCGTAGTTTCAGAAATCTGCATCCAGAGTGAATTCACAGTCCATCATGTTCGACATCACTCCAAATCTCTGATACTCTCCAACTCGTTTCTCGAAGAAGTTGGTTTTCCCCTCTAGTGAAATAGATTCCATGAAGTCGAATGGATTCTCTGCTTGGTAAACCTTGAATGAGAGGAGAGTAACAAATATTACTACACACAAAGTTTTATCTTTTACAAAGATAAAACTAAAGTAAAACCCACACATCTTGTGGTTACCAAATAAAATGTAACTAGTAAATATCTAAGTCATATGCCACTATGGTCATATTTTTAGTGAGACTTTAATTCTTCTCAACCCAGGGGTCCTTCACTTTAACTGTTCTTATTAACTCTCTCTCTCTCTCTCTCTCTCTCTCTCTCTCTCTCTCTCTCTCTCTCTCTCTCTCTCTCTCTCTCTCTCTCTCTCTCTCTCTCTCTCTCTCTCTCTCTCTCTCTCTCTCTCTCTCTCTCTCTCTCTCTCTCTCTGATTTCCAATGTTACCCACTATATTATCTCTCTAATAAAGGTATGAAAAGCCACAACATATATATATATTTACCTTAGCCAGTCCAAGGTCTGTGAGAAGCCTGTCAGCCACAAACTCAATATACTGCTTCATCAGACAACAATTGATTCCAATGAGATCCACTGGTAAGGCCTCCGTCAAAAACTCCTGCAACACCAAACATTTGTATTTACAAACAGTTCCACAACTGTCATGGTCTGAATATTTAGGTACTTAAAAATCAGAAAAATCAGTCAAAATGACAATTGACTGTTAAGCTACAACTGATATATTATAATTGTAGGCAATATTAATACAAAATAAAAAAACAAACTAATTACGGTATATACAGTATACTACAACTATGGCTGACCTGCTCAATGCTAACAGCTTTGGTGATGATGTCCTTCACGCGGTCCTCTGACGGCTTCTTCAACAGGTAGCTGTACAGCAGGCAGGCAAAGTTACAGTGCAAGCCCTGTAACAAGAAACACATCCATAAACATGTTCAAATAATTCTTAACTGACCATAAAAACAACAACAAAATACAACATATAGATATAGCCCCCCCCCCCCAATATAATGGTAGGGGAAACACTGGAGGTATTATAGAGAAATCCATTGGATCTGCAGAGTCCCTCTGCACCTTTAAGAAAAAGCTAAAGACCCAGCTCTGTCATGAATACCTACTAACTTAATGATGATGGTCTCCATATTATTGATGATGATGATGGTAATGACGATGGTTTTTGTTTGATAACAATGACTTATAAGATGGTTTCTATACTGATTAGAGCTCTCAAGAACTGCCCTCAATGTTGTGCTTTGCCTCTGGTCACTTCCTGTCAGCACCTGTGTGTCCAATCAGACTCAAAGCTGATCGTTTGCTCTTACTGACATTGTTCCCTTTTTTCTAGATCCTTGCTTGTGTTGTACTTACTCTCTGATGTACGTCGCTTTGGAGAAAAGCGTCTGCTAAGTGAATTGTAGAATTGTAGGTCTGCTAATAAGCAGAGGAAGTGATTTCCATCATGATAATGGTGTGCAACTATGAACTTAATGGTCTTTAAAAGCATAGTATAAATAAGACAATTACAACATTTCTCTAAAAGGTTACAGCAAGCTTTAAATCATCAGGAACACTCATTAACCCATACAACATTCATTAATCTATTCAACATTAAAAAAAACAAGCTGTTTTACCAAAACAAAAGCTGCATTTTAAGTGAGAGAAGATGACTAGGTTTTTTACAAACAAGTGATTCATTCATCTATAAATGGTTGTTAAATGTTTGTTAATCAACAGTTGGTTAGCTGGTTCATACCAGTCAACTAGCATAAATGTAATTAACATTAAAGGTTCAATAGTAATTAAAAAATAAGGAGCATTTCTTGTGACATCTGTTGAAAATTCTCTGCATTCCAAATCAAATGCTCTGACAAATCCTTCCAATCATTGGATGGACAATTATTTTGTACCAAAATAGAAGCTCTATTGGACAGATTAAACTACATGTTATTTTGTTTTTAAAATATATCTTACCTCATCCCTGCTTATCAGCTCGTTGGAGTAGGTAAGACCTGGCATTAGTCCTCTCTTCTTCAGCCAATAGATGGCAGCGAATGAGCCAGAGAAGAAGATGCCCTCCACTGCTGCGAAAGCCACAAGTCGCTCCCCTAAGGGAAGAAAGTGTAAAAACTTCCTTTAATAACAGGAAGTCTCATCTACCTGAGAAACTCTCTTTCTTATGTGACCAACACTATCACGCTTTGTCTTCCTTACCAAACGAGGATTTGCTGTCGTTTATCCACTGGAGGGCCCAGTCTGCTTTTCTCTTCACACACTGCATTGTCTCAACGGCGTTAAATAAGTTGTCCCTGTGACACAAACGCATAAGACACACAATATAACCATCACTAAACATGCAGCATGTGATAAGTATCTAGTGACTTGCACTTGTTTTAGAGACTCAACTGTGAATTGAACTTGATGTAGTTAATGTTTTAGGAGAGCAACATGAGTTAAAAAAATATTCAAATAAAGAAAAAAACAATGGAAGGCTTGTAAAGATAGTTACATAAATGGATAGGATAGGATAGTACTTTATTGATCCCCAGAGGGGAAATTCGGGCGTTACAGCAGGACAGACAAGAAAGCTCAAATACACATTAAACAGAATAGATCAAATAAATACAAATAAAAACAGGGGGTATATACAGTACAAAAATGAATGATGAAGTTAACTGGGGGGAATTGAGAATTGAGACAGTATTTGAAGATAATGACAAGATAAAGTGACAAGTGATGATTAAAGTGACTTGGTATGATAAATAAATAGCAGCAAGTCATGTAAACAGCAGAGAAGAGAGGCAGTGTTGTACCACAGTAAATGGAGCAAACATGTAAAACAAAATACATTCAGTTCATATACTTTTTGAACAGCCAGTTGGTGCAGAGTGAGTGAAGCTTTTGTCTTCAAATTAACAGCAGCTGAGAATGCAACATCAGGCATGACCACAGTTTTCTGTTGATGTAGCCTGTGATGAGCAGGTGCTGGTCTTACAACTTTGTCATATCTTCAGAAGATTAAATGTATCTGTATGTGGTTATACAGTTACTCTCAATGTACCGAGGCAGAAGGATATGGTTAGATCTTTATCGTGTCATTACAATTCATAGCAACTGGATTAAACCAATTTTATGTATCCGACTTGTTGATTTTTGTTTTGTTCTGAATTAAATAGTTTTGAGTAACAAATGTTGTACCCTGCTGTGGTTCATTAAAACACAAATAAAATTCAGACCCACTGTGCATCACATGTTAAGACTGGACCATAAAAAAAGCACAGAAAACAGAAACACACAAACCTTTCCTTAAGGTCCCTGATGTAAGTGTTGATAAGCATGCTGTACATCTCTGAGTGAACAGTCTCAATGAGGATCTGAAAGCTGTAGAAGGAGCGTGCTTCCGCAACCTGCACCTCCTGGCTAAACCTTTGCACCTGTTAGATGAGACAGAAACACACACACACACACACACAAAAAGATTTAACCTCAAATTTAACTGAAATATGAAGTTGAAGATTTGGCAGCAAGATTTTGCTGTTTCTTTATAAAAGAAATATGATGTTTTGGCAGCTTGCAAGGGTGCCAGTTTGAAAGTGAACCCTCTTACCAGGTTCTCGTTGACAATCCCATCACTTGCAGCAAAGAAGGCTAGAACATGGGAGATGAAGTGTCTTTCCTCAGGTTTTAAACGGTCCCAATGTGGCAAGTCTTTGGAAAGATCAACCTGAAAAATCCAACATCAGCATAAACATAAAAATGTGTTTCTCGTTGATTGATAATTTGTTTTCCAGAGATGGCAGCTGAATCCTATACAGTTAGTATTTGAGGCTGTTACATTACAAGTTCAAGTCTGATAGCATAGTTGAAAGTCAATAATTTCTCATTTAGATAAAATCGACTACATTTTATCAATACAACTAAAGGTAGGTCTTTACGCACGTGTTTAGCACGTGTTTATTTCCTTTATTTTGCAAAATTCAGATAATTTCTTTTGTAAGTGAAACACCTACTTCCTCCACCGTCCAGAATGAGGCTTGTGCCTGCTTGTACATCTTCCAGATGTCGGGGTACTGGATGGGGAAAATGACAAACCGTCTGGAGTTTTCTCGGAGCAAAGGTTCATCTTCTGTAGCAGAACCATTTGAGCAGTCATGGTCTTTATCTTTCAAGCCATTCTACAATAAAGCAAGAAAGTGAACATTTATAACGTAAGCAAACATATTTAATACCAAATATTTAGTAAGGTTAGTACTCGAAATTGTTTGGTAAGAGTTTTGGCTCGACTAAAATCAGAGGAACTGTACCTTTAAAAATAAAAGTAGGCCACTGCGCATGCGCATTAGAGCGTGCACCCCAAAACAAAGCATATATCCTAATTAAATGTCCCTTTTAAGCTAGTTTAAATGTGTTTCAAAGCTCTTTTCATATTCTGCCTTTGTCTTCGTGTGTTATCAACTCTACATTAAAGGTTTCTGTATTGTTGCCACTGACGGTTAGCTTAGTTAACATTACAGAGGGTAACATTTAAAGCGGATAAATTCTGTACCTAAAACTTGACCTTTACTCTGATATACAAAAGCCTAAGTCTGAAGTACTAATGTCTCCATTAACTGGGAAAACAGGCTGACTCGCTGACAACGTGCTAGGGACACTGATTAATTTGATGCTAGCGTTACATCATGAGCTGCTTACCGTATCACTCAGTTCAACACTTTTCTCATCTATTTCCAGTAGATCCATTTCTTGAAGCCACTTTATTCACCGTCGATGTCATGGAGTTTGGTTCTTCAAGCTGCTGCTCTGTGTCATAACCTTGCTTTATGTGTGCAGCTGCAGCTTTGTTGGTTAAACAGACCACAGAAGAGTTTAGCGCCTCTAGAGGTCAGACGAGAAATGTCTTATTACAAAACCCCAGTAAGATGACACTTTCTGGAAATTACGCTGATTACACATAAAAACCCCCAATCTCTATTATAAGTTACCTACATTCACCTTGCTATTAGTCACTCATAGCGCAGTCTTGATCATAAAGAAAGTGAGTAGGCTAAATGGAAATACAAGCATTTGATAAAGAAGGGTAACACAATGAACTTCAGATTAATAGACAGGTTTATTGGACAGGAATGTGTTGTACTATAACATATGACATCTCTAGCACGGAGGACATGCTTACATTTGTATTGTAAACATGGAGGAACTTAATATAATTCCCAGCATTTATAATGACAGCATGACAATGGTATGAATTCAAAGCTGGATGTCAATGTGTGAAAGCTAAGATATCTAGACTGTTACACTGGTATGTTGTGTATCCCCAACCGGAAAACATCATTTGTGCAGGCCCACGCACAGTTTTGGGACTTGAGCATAAACACCTGATGAAAGGCCATTGGTGGATCGTCATCGACCTATCATGAAGACAAGAGAGTGTGAGACAGCAAAACTTTTGTTTGCGACAACAGTCAGATTGAAAAGGTGTACAGAGTGTTTAATAAAGACACAAGCAGAAGGTTGCATTAGAAAAATGTTGCAGGTGTTATACCTGTGGATCTACTTCGTGTACCACATAGCAAGATTAGTGGGTAATGCAGGAACCGTTGGTCTCAGTTTTTAGGTATCAAGAAGGGGGGGGGGGGTGTCACTTTAGGAATAGATCATCTTGAGCTGTAAGGGTAACCAGTACCATGGTGCACCAGCTCCAGGTTACATTCAAATGTAGTAAGAATGTCATTTCTAATTTAGGACGGAGTTTATGCACTACTAAGATTTAAGGTGTTGTATTAGCTGAGATAGTTCCAACGTAGGCAGAAGTCACACCTTACATCTAGCACCTAGTAGCTGTAACGTCCTTCGTAAAATGTGGTGGTCATGGTTACCGTTTTTAAAGGTGAAAAATCTTGAAAGCTAAGGAGGAGAACGTTTTTTTTGGCTGTTTGGTGTCAGCAGTGTATTCTCCAGGATAGAGTATATCCCTCGGATATGTATGATTACTTTGCTCCCCCCCCACAGCAGAGAAAATGTAATCTGTCAAACCACAGTTAAATCACCTGATGGTGTAGTTGAAGAATTCACCACTCGGTGTCACTGTTGTTGTTTTGGATTAGCTGCAGTTCAAGGGTGTAGTGTTTAGTTATCACCTATAATCATAATGCTTCTTTATATTTTACAAACGTTTTGTTTCTGTTTGTGGATCAACAGCAGTTAGTCTGTTCAGAGACTATTAAACCTGAGAGGCAGCACTGTAACAAACACTGCCTTTAGAAAAATGCTCGTCACTGATTGGTTACATGAAGTTAAAATGTAATTTCTTTGTTTGGACGTTACATCCTACTAGTTAAGATGAACCTTACGTCTCTGTGGTGTAACCAAAAAATGTCAACTAACTAGCGTGCACTTAGGGTTTAGAGTGAACTTCACCTTCAAACTTAAGACACACAAAGCTAGTGCAACAGACCACTGCCTGTAACATGTGAACTTTAAAAACTCTATAAACAGTCACTGTCATATAAATTCAGTGGTAAAACTGAAATCATGTTAACAGGATTCTGACAGGATGTAATGTTTCATAGGTGAGCAGAATCATTTGGTTTTCCAGTCTAAGACAGTGACAGCTTTTCATTGTAAATACACAATGACAATGAAAACTACATTCGATTTTCTTTCATTGGTTTCTGTGCATCACATATTTATAGCAGTTTGTTCATCACCTGACCTCCTTAAAAAAAAAAATCAATCCATTTATTTATAACACTTCCCACTAGGTCTGAGTAATAACACTGATTCATCAGTGCATTGAAATATATGTTCCCCCAATTCATTATCAGTTCAGAAAATCCTGAAATCCATTTTTCCATGGTAATGTGGGTGTCGCCACACCGTGATCCGTGTTGTATGGAGTCACCACATCACTAATCAACGTCTTTAAAACACATTTTGGAGTCAGTTTGTTCTAAATCAACACAATTATTATTTAACAGATCGCAGACAGTACTGTAAGTAATTATTTTGGTATTTCTGTCATCTATGCATATCATTTAATCAGTCGTGAAGCATATTGATCAATATTGAACTGTGACACAAAGAATCAAAAATCAAATTCAATTGCGAGGTTTTTGACAATACCCAGCCTTACTCACAGCTTTGTACACAAGGCAGTCCCGTCCATGTAAACATGATGTAAACACAGCCCGACAACAGTACAGCTGGTGGGACTCGAGCTTCTCACTCATTGTAGACAGTCATGACTCAGAGAGACATTTACACAGGATAAACTTGATTTCTGCTGTATTGGTGTGTCAAGTGTTGCACATTCTTCCTTTAATCTAGTTTTATACTGATTTCTTTCTTCATGGTTTTTGTTGTTGTTGATGTTGTCTTTAATGAATTACACCGCCTTTTTCACACGCATACACTGACGCTGGAATAGACAATGACTTAACACAGCCAGTTGACCCGCCTCTTGACACCAGGTAAACCAATGAAGACAAACTTATTTTCTTATACACACAAAGTCATCAAAAAAGGGAAAGACATTTCTTTTAACTAGCTTACCTGTAACTGCCCAAACACCATGATGAGGATACAACTGTCTATTGTGGGTTGGAAGTCTTGTTCTGTGATAATATGCTTAATACGCTTGAATGGCAGCCCCTGTGTATTAAGAACAAGAGTTTACAATGAATATACAGAAGAACACGCCATCGTTTTGTCTTTTCACTTTTTGTGGCAAACTAAGGGCACCAGAGAAGGTTTGAAGAATGACAATGACAACAGAAATAAACGTGCAAAGTGTGCAAATTTCACAATGTATTATCTATGCCAACTGTCTACCTGTGAATGGCTGTTTTATGGTACATCACTATACATATACAATGCACACAGACATACCAAAAGATGTTTGGCCTTTAAAAAAAAAAATCCTTTTCACTGTTTTCAATTGATACTTACAGCTAGTTTAGCAGCAATGGCTTCTCTTCCTTGAAAAGGTGCTCCTTCCCACGTCAAACAGGCCTCAGGAGACTAAAAACATGTGTAAGAATATATTCAATGCATGCATACCATTTTTTTAAAACCTAGTTTCAAATCATTCACAACAGTAACTGTCACAATGAGTGATAAGTATGTAGGCATTAGGTTTGTAGGTATGGACATCATGTGTTGATGTTGCAGATTTTTACTTTTATCAGAGCTGGCCATAGTTAAATGGACACTTGACAAACGTACATATAGGTTACCCAACTCCATCCTGTTGGTATTGTCAAACTGGTTGTAATATGCCTGAACAAAGCCTTCACCAATCTTCTGCCATATTTCTTTCTCTCCAGCCATTTTTGAAGCGTTGGATCTGTAAGAAGAGACGAGTCCTGTCATTAGCAGTCAGTCCATGTTACAGTTGATAGAAGGCTCTTCTTTAGCTTAATATTCTTGTTCTAATAGCGTCTTCAAATAAAAAGGTTCAAAATAATACTGTGCAGATGAATAAAATGTCAACAAGTTTTAAAGGTAAAAGAGACATGACATGAAGCCAAATAAACATTAAAAAGCTTCTTAAGAGTCTATTTTAGTGCAAGTTCACAACTCAACCTTCATATTATGCGTTGACCCTAAATTCAGTACCCTACTAAGGTAATTATAGGTTTCAAACACAAGGTCAACATAGACAATATGAATGCGTTATGTTGCCAAGCTTCACTGTCTACAGGCACTTCATTGATTTTCCAAGAGGTACATCAAAACAAGTTCAAACTCTCTCCAACTATGCTTCAGATTTCAATGGGACACAGAAGAATTCAAATGTCTTGTCAATGTGGTCCTCTGATTTCAGCTTCTCTCAGACTATCTATAAACTTTAACAAAACGAGTGGTTTGAATTATTCTATGGATTGATTCCTATTAGATTCTTATTACAAATGTAATAGATATAAACAAAGAGCTGGAAACACCTGTTAGTTAATATTATAGATATTTTACTCTCTAGTTAAGTCAGAGTTCTCCATTAGTTCTAGATGTATGAACGATTGATGTATATTGAAAAACACAGTAAATATTTCAGATGTTTTATTTGATATACGCTAGTCATTCAATCAGTTGTTTTCTGTACCTTTATTAAGTGTGTGTACGGTGTTAGCGGAGGCTACCATACACTGTAAATAATAAGGAGGCTACGGAAAACTTCTGATGCATCAGAAGTTACAACCGGTCCAGCCTGGGATTTTAGCAGGTTAGCTAATGCAGACCTCGTCATACAGAAAACTATTAATAAACAATTTCTACAGCGGGAGCCACCGTCATAACTTATCCAATACAAAACTTTCTGCTAGCATTAGCTCACACTGGCTTCTCTGTGAATTGTGTATGTCATTGTATCGCCGTAAAAATCGACTAAACATAACCATGGTAGCGCTGGTGATTTTTAGTACGTTGTTGCTGGTAAGCATTTGACTGAAAACCATTTCTTGACTATGTCTGTATAAAAATGTGCTTACTTTTTCAATCAGCAGACAAGCCAGCGTGGAGACGGAGTCAGTAAAATCGAGGCTGATGCTGTTCCCGCTTCCTTCCTTCTTCTTCGTCTGTTGGATTTTATGGCAGGAAGCATCCACAGGCGTTACATCATCGCCATCTGCTGGACAACCAAGTCTTGGTCTTTCACTTCAGGTGTCCTTCTGAGTTATTTCTCTTATACATGTTTTAATATTTTTTAAACTCAAAAAAGGAACTGAATTCCCTACGAACAATTTGTAAAATGTATTCTGATGCCCAGAATCTCTCACAGAAGAATTTTGAATACAGCAGGAACAGCATCAAAAACAACTGCGTATTATTTCGAGAGGACATGAACTTTAAAGTTTGATAGAAATGTTATCATAATAATAATAATACAAAAATAGAGATTTAAATGTAAAACAAATATTCTTGTTATTCCAAATGTAGTACTTATGGTGATGTTTGCATACCAAAGACCAGCATAACAGTAGCTCTTCATGAAAACTTGAGTTTGACAGGAAGTTTTTCCAATATTACATTGTAATTTCATGTAAAAAATTGAATTCCCAAATTGCTTTAAATACATGTTGAAATTCAATTCCATGATGTATTTGGATTACCTCTCTGTAGCACATAGGGTCCATAGGGTTCTCCTCTGAGGTATGATTCACTTTTGACGTCCCTTGCTGGATGACCAAAGAAGGTCAAGTGATTCTGTTCGGTTTCTGCCAGGAGTGAAGGAGGACGGAGTTCTTCCGCTGCGACAAACCAAATCAATGCACAGAACCCTGTTTTTTTTTTGTTTTTTTAACAGGAGGTACACTGACAAAAACAACATCAACACAAATGTGTCTCAATTAAATCTTTAATTATTGTATTAAAAACATCAACATAAAATATCCTGTAAATGAAAAATCTGTTTTTAAAACTACTTTGGCAAATAATCTAATAATTAATCATAGCTGTGACCATTGTTGTTTTTGGATCGGTAAGGGCATCATCACATTTCTAAGGTACAGAGATCTCCAAAGGACCATATCCAAGGGAACAAAATTCAATAGTAACTCCAGCCTGAGGCCAAACTCTAATTCATCATAGTCTCTCTAACCAAGATAGCTCATCTATAGTGTGCTTTGTTAAAAAAGGTGCTATCAAAGATGTAGTGCCATGTCCATGAGGCAACTCTTATCCGTAGCCTGTAACATAAGGCTATTAGTAAAAGTGAATCTTTTGAAATGGAAGACATTAAATGCTTGACTGGATAAGATCTATTTTGTTTAGGGAGAGTGCAGAAACATTAGAAATGCATATTAATGCATGAACAGCGTGCAGGTCTTTATAAACACCATTTACAGGAATGTCCTTTTTAAAAAAAAAGCTGGGTTATTTTCATGTTGTACATCTGTAGATCTTCAGAGCTCTTTCTTGCCTTCCTTCTTTACAGTGTCCTATAGGCATGCTGGATGACTTTTACCTCCCGACTTGTCACAAATCCAATATCTGACATTTCTTCAAACATTGTGAAACAAGACAGAACTAAGACCCATTTAGGCACTTTTTTAAAATCATTTTGCTACAGTTCAGTGCTTTCATCTTGTTGCCAGTAAAATGACACTCAAAATGCAGAATGTCTTTCACACATCACTTCCAGTTACTTGTTCATAAAGGCTACTATTGCTTATTTGAGGCCACTGCACCAATAGCTCCTCGTTCAATGGATGGCAGTAAAAGTTCTCTCTACAGTTTCACCCAACAGGCCTCTGAGGTTAGAACCAAGTTATGTGTTAAATGCTCCCGTGTGTCACTGCTCTGGCTGTGATGGGAAATAATCGTCTGTTCGGAACACACTGGGGATCTCTTGACGTTGATGTGGTGCTGGTCTTCTTGGGCTGGACGGTTTCTGTTAGTTGACAAACAAAAAGAAATCTGAATGAATCAATAGCACAGCCTGGAGTAGAATTACAGAATTGTTGAGAAAGATTTAAAGAAAATATTGGGAAAAGTTTCTCTGTTTCACATCTGTTAATACAATAAACAGCCTGAACCTCAAAGCTAATGGGCAAGCAAACAGAAAAGACAAACGGAAAGAAACACAAGTACATGAAGGAGCTCTCACATTTAAGAACCCCGGGACACTCATTGTGCGAAGGATTTTCTTGAAAGCACCCGGCAATGTTCCTAGCTCTCCTTCTGCCTGCGTGACCTGCTCCTCCATCGCATTGACATTGGCGCCAACCATCTTTACAAAGGCCTACAGGCAAAGCAAGAATAATACATCAAAAGCTGATTACATTGGTCTATGAAACATTGGTGAGACAAACTTAATGCAAGAGAGTTCAACATTAAACTATAATAAATGTGAAGACTTCAAAAGCTCATGCATTTGCCTATTTGTGAAGAAAATAATATTTGATCTTTTTTTTAATTTATTATTTTTTTTTTAAATGGAGGGCCAATAAGGGATTTTGAAAGGTGTTCGATAAAAACGGCATTAAAAACATTAGGAAAATGTAATAATTAAAAGCAAAAAATATAATTCATAGGAAGAAAATTGACTTAACTAAACAAGTACAAGAAAAGTTAGAAAAACAACTCTGTAGTTTACTAGTTTTGGAGGACTCAAAATCAGTCTCGGCCTCAAGACCACTTTTTGTAGCTCTCAGTCTCTTCTTGCAATCAAAAGCATTTTTACTCTGTCTTGTCTCGGTCTCGGACTGGGTGGACTCCAGATTTTAAATAGTCGGTGCCTTGCTCAAGAGCAGGGCTCAGTAAACCCTCCAGCACCCAGTCCCAATTTTCATGAACTGAAATGAGCTGACTGAACAGGTAAGTGAGAAGTCCTCACAGACTGAGCTACTGCTGCCCTAATGAGCATCTTTTAAGTCTTCAGGTCATTTAAAGTTCTTATTACAGATCCCACACAGCCTTCCACACATCCATACTTGAACAAAGAGCCAAGTCTATCATTACAATTCCATTTACATACATTGAATAAGTTGTGGCTATGCCTTCAGAGCACTTTGGGGTCAGATATGTGGACTGCAGGAGCTGTGGATCAAACTGTCAATCGATCGATTAAAATGTGACCTTCTCTACATCTGAGCCAAAGCAGCCCCACACCACTTTAAAGAATAGGTTTGAATGTTTCATTACATTCATTTCTGATTAGTTTCTGTAGTTTGGAGTCAAAAGATGTGTCTTATAAAAACCGTCAAACTGAATTTTCTGTATATCGTAGAAACCTTTTTAAATGTGTCAAATAAGTATGATGACTTACCTCTAACTTATCAATTCTTCTGTATATTTGTCTCATTTCATCAGACTTCTGTTGAATTTGAGGTAGATTTTCATTTACTATCTGGGAAGTATCATTACGGATCTACAATAAAAACAAAGAGTTAGACATACATGCTCAAGTTCCATAAAAAACGAGATATGGTGCATGCATAATCATTCATAGTCAAAGCATGACTGAGCTTACCATGTCCAGCATTCCTACAAACTCATCCACCCTTGTCAGCATTTCTTCTAAGCTCTTCTCCAAGCACAGGATCTAGAAACGATATCATTAAAAGAGAAGGCTGTGAAATTATCACAAACATATTAACTATGTAGAAACCAAACAGAGTAGACCTAAGGCATATGTGACATTTTTTATTCACTTCAACTTCAGGCCACACATCATTTAAAGCTGTAAATCTATTAAAAGCCTTCAAATTGTGTCCGCAAGAACCACAGAGTCAAAACATAGGGGCCTTTGTCTGCATATAAATCCAACTAGCTAGCTAAGCTTCTTCCAAATCACACATTTCCACTTAATGTTAACTCAGAGCCCTGTTCAGCCTGCCATCAGTAGTAAGTTAGGAAAAGAAACAGTCTGTTTCTACAAGTTAAGAAAACTGTCTCCCAGGTTTCCTCTCTGGTTTGACATAATTAATAATGTGCATTGGACAAAAAAGTGAGTCTTTAGCTTTAAATATATGATCACAGTAACACTTGAAGTGAACCAGTGGAGTTCCCCTCAATAAGCTGTTTATTTTTTATTATAATTTGTTACACCTACATTCAATTTTTAAATTGCAAAATTGCAGTAAACCGACTTGTTAAGGACTAATAAATACAAGTTGATTTCATACTTCCTCGCCCTAGGTCCTAGACAGTAAACCATAGTAGTAAACTCAGGGGCGATAGTCCAATCAATTTACGACTTCAGTGTCGCTTAGCAACCACTGTGTCGTTGGCTATGGTCGTTGGTCAGAGCTGCATTGCTCGTTAACGAACGTCTCTCCGCGAGTGGGCGTGGCTTCGGCACATTCTATGGACACGCCCACATCATCCGAGAGGAGAGAATACAGCTACATTTTTCATGATTTTGAAGCTTCATTTTATAAACTTCTACGTTTTTTTCATTGCTGAAATTTGGCCTGGTGGTTAATAATACATCCTTCTTTTGTATAAAAAACTAAAAAAACATATATTTTTTAAGAAAAGATTTATTAGCCATGACTACTGCAGTGATACATCCGTATAATTTGCTAAACCGTTCTAATAAACGAAGAGTTAGCTAAGTGAGACTTGGTGTAAAGCCCTCAGCACAAACCTCTTCTCCAGCTGTAGCCCGGATGTAGGCTGAGTAGCTGAAGGCGGTGTGTCTCAGGAGTTCGTCGTCCTGCTCCGGGTAGTGCTGGTCAGATGTCCCGGGGTCTGCTGCTTCGTCGGGGCTCGGGCTTTGGGGATAAGGTTAGCCGCTGCGCCAAAGCTCGGGCTCTGCGACACGGTCCCGCTGCTGAGGATTTCACTCACCATGGACAGACTGCTCGCACTTTGAGACACGATGCCGCTGTCTCTGCTAATCTCAGCACTGGACTCCTCCAGGGGAGACAGCAGGCCAACTCTGTCCACTCGATGAAGGTCCATGTCTGTCGCCTGTCTTCCTGAACCACTGCCGTGTTGTTTTGCCTTGTCAAATGACTGGGTCACGTGTGTTGTGCTCGCTATGGTGACTCATAAGGGCCAAAACAGTGTAATGCGCAATAAAGCGTTGATAACTGTACTGTCCCTTTTTAATTTGTATCCCTAGTTTATTTTATTAATATGTAAAAAATGGATCAAAGACTAAATATATATTAAAAGAAAAAAATAAAACTCACATTTATTGCCCCTAAAGAAAACTAAACACATAAATATAGTCACAAACACTGTGATAAACCACTGCAGTATCATTACAATAAAAATGGACAGCTCAACATCTTGTAGCATCTGGATTGACAGAACAGTCGTTAATTCAAAAAGATGTAACATTTATAATCTGAAACAAATAGGACATTTAAAAAATACAAAGAGGATTCTGATCATTTGGTTAAAAAAAGTATTGCAGGATATAAAGAGTTGCATTCATTTCCAAGAAAGAAAAGTTAGATATAGGCTATGTAAGTACCATAACACCTATAAAATGCAAATGCAAGTACTTGTTGACACTACATTTATTTTTGGCATTTCTCTTTTTGAGACATAGAGGTTACCATGTCTCTAGAGTCTCGGCCAGCAGATGGCAGCCAGGATAACTTCATTGCAAGACTTGAGTTGTCTGCTCATGGGTGGTGCAGAATCAGGTACTTTCGTATGTGTTTAAATAGTTTATCATATCTTTCATCATTTCTAGAATTTCTAAGAAGACAAAACAGTTGATATTTGTACATAGTCAGGTCAAAGGGGCGATCTCTAAGAATGTTCAGCATCAAAAATGAAATGTCCTTATTTTTGATGGTGTATTTTAGTTTTTTGTTAACAATAGATCAGTCTGTCTACACTTTAATCTAAAAAAACCCAACTAATAGCACACCTGCATCACATATGGGTACAATTTAAACCATAAACCATATCAAGTGACTCTACTATCTGCATGTGCTAACAATAATTTAAAATATTTATTTAAAGGTTGTCCACAGAGTTGAAAACAGTCTGAATAGCATAATCTGATCTGACTTCATTCTTAAAAAGCTCTCAGATCTGCTGATCAGTGTTACAGACTAGCTGAAGTAGGCCAGTTTGGTTGCCAATGATCTATTAGCTGTTTGAGTACTCTGGCGTCTGGAGTAAACACAGCAGACAAACATTCATTAGCAGGGAGGTGAGAGGAGTCAGCTGCTGCTGGCCTCTGACCCAGGACAGAGATGCATTCCTGCTGCAAGACCATGTTGGATATAGATTGGCTGTAGAGGATGATAGTGATTAGAATAGTTGTTTCTAGCTGTAAATACTGATTTAGAATTTCTTCAGTTTTTACTGAGGAAGCAGGATGGTGACAGTATTTTCCAAAAGAAGACCCACACCCTGCAACATGTTTTGTGGTTGTGCATTCCTTATACAGATGCTTCAGTTTGTGAGGAAACTGGGAGGTCAGCCTCTGCCTTTTGCTTACTGTGAGCATCTGACTTTTGGATCTAAGGGGCTAAAACAAAGACTTTATGCTTTGTGTTGTTTGAATAGTTTCCTCCTACAGCCCAGTCAAGCTGACCGGGGAGTTACTGAAATGTCTTTTAAGTCATTATCCAGCAATTTCATTTCAAGATAGAACATTTATTTGAGAAGACCAGTGTAAAAAAAACCCACTACATGTTTATATTAAAGCGGTTTCTATCAACGGTGAAACTACTACAAGTAATGTAAGTTTTCAAATAAATATCCCCTTATGATAAAATGAAGGACATAAATTATAGTTTAACTCAAACTAAATGATTATTAAACTCTGATTCTTCAGGGCAATCATTTTTTAAACTTTGAATTTTCCGACTAAAGCCTCCTCATTTTTTAGATTTCTCTCTTTACATGTCATTTTATATGTCAGACTGCTTAGAGCCCTAAAATTCTTTTTTCATAAATAAATGTTTGCTCCACTTGGTAGAAAAAAACCCTCGCACATCCATTTCAATAGATAGGTGCATAGGAGACAAGCGGCAACCTCCAGTCTTGAAAAAATGAAGCCAATGCAGAAGTGCAAAATCCTGCGGTTCATGGAGTGTCTGCTTGAGGCTCCAGGAGCCCCGGATGTCACATACACACCACATTCAAAAAAACCTGTTGCAAATAAAGGTGTATTTGCAATAAACCTTTAAAGAGTTAGCATGTTTGATTTCTAAAATGTTTTGTTCAAAAACAACTGTTTTCCAGATTTAAAAAAAGTACAATACTAGTGGCTATCCAAATAAGAGCTGCTGCACCAAAGATAGAATGATAGGATAATAGAAGAGCAATCAGCTTCTTTAAACAAAATTAAACCACACAATCTTTAGCTAGCATAAATGTATCAAAGTAAATGCCACTTTTCTAGTTTGAAAAATCGTGAGAATAATTTATTGGAACAGATACAGGTAATTTGATCACAATCATCAATGCATAAAAGAACTCTAAAAAAATTCATACTCTACACAGCATTTAGAATATAAGAAATATAGATTTACTCTTTAAAAATGTCCACAAGCAAAAACCCCCAGTTGGTCCCAGTAATAAGAATGAAAAGGATCATAATAAAAGTGGTCACTAAGAAAAGATATCAGACTGTAGGCACATTCAGAACTCTTAACATACAGTGGACTCGCCTAAAAACGCTTTGTTCTAATGCTTAGTACAAACATACATACAAATCTTTTCATTTAAGACACATTTTAAAAAACACGAAAAAATATACAAATTACATCTTCCTTGTTTCCTGGTTTGTAACTTCCTGTTATTAATCATCTTGTAAAAACAAACAGAAGTTACAAAATGAGAATCTTACTAAACACAGTCACGCTCATTATATGGCCTGGTGTTCCACTTTAAGTCTCTGAGCGGTGGGGATGTTTCTGTCCGTCTATGTGTGTGTGTCTTTTTTTTTTTTAGTATTATAGGGTAATGACGGTGCCATCCTCCTCAACTCCTCCCCTGGGCAGTGCCAGACTGTGTCGTGGGTCAGATTTCATGGAGCTGAGGATTTTGTGTAGGCTGCCGTTGCTGTGACGCAGCGCCGGGTTGCTGCTGTAATGTGGAGGCTGTACGTGGTGATGACGCTGCTGGGACTGTTGGTGCTGAAGGTTCAGGTCTCTGTGGAGCTGGTAGCTGAGGCTGCTGTGATGGTGGGACCCTCCGTTGAGGCTGGGCTGGGAGTGGAAGGAGGCGGTGGAGACCACCGACGAAGGACGTGTGGGAGGGCTCGGGGGCGCCGCTGGATTTTGAGCCGTCGATTGCGTCTGCTGGTGTGTGCGGGACGCGGTGGACGCCAGGGAAGCGTTGGACCTCTGGGACGGCCGCTTGAGGCTACTCTCGATGACGATATCCGTCTCTTCATCACTCTCCAGGTCGTCTTGGTAACCGTGTGCGCCGCTCGACGTCACCCCCGCTGTAGCAATGGACAAACTTGGGTAACCAGTTGAACCGCTGCTGTCGGACGACTGTCCCGAGCTTCCAGAGATCCTGCTGCTGCGGACCACGTTATTTCTCTGGTTCACAGGCTTCACCGTCACGATCAGGTTATGACTGTTGGCGATCATCATATCCGTCACCTGATCTAAGGACTTTCCCGTCACCTCAATCCCGTTAACCTCCAAGACCTCATCGTTAACCGCCAGCAGCCCGGTGCTCTCCGCCAGCCCTCCAGGCACCATCCGAGAAATGAAGATGCCGGGGACTTTCTCCAGCCCGTGCGGCGTCACCCGCACGCTGGTCCCGTCTCGGATGTAGAAGCCGAGGGGCTTGTCCGAGCCGTGGCGGTACAGTCGGACGCGGCGGTGGGACTCCGGCAGGATGTCCACGTCGATGATGGAGGAGACGGGCCGGAAGTCCTGCGGCATGCCGATGCGGATGTGCGGCCGTTTTCTGTTGACGTCGTTGTTGCGCAGAGCGACCACAGCCTTCTTCCGACGCGTGATCGTGTTTGTGCCGAAGTTGGCGTAGTCGACCTCTTCTGCAAAGAGAACACAAAGGGAGGAAAAGAAAGTGTTAAGAGAAGTTCGCAGGCGACACAGGTGAACAAAAACATATTCTCTCTGCCATGTGTCTCCAGATGTTGAAGGCAACAGGTGAAAAATGGAAAAAAAAAAGTTTCTTAAGACACAAAAGTATTGAAAGAAAGAAGATTTATAAAGTAGACAAACTGACTTTCCATCCCTTCACTAAAACAAACATAAAGGGTCTTTTCCTACAACTTTAAATAACACCACCTGCACTACAAACTAAAAACCTTTTATTTAAAACATACACAGATGTGCTTGAAAATACCTTTCCCCTAAAAGACCTGGTTATTGAATGTATCTATATATATTTTGATTTTGAATGTGTCAATATATATAGCTGTCTGTGTCTACTTGTATTGTCCTATTAGTATCTATGTTACGACAGTTGCTAATGGACAACTACCTTAGGAAGCTGGGAGGGTATATAGGTGTTTATTATTGTATTGTCTTGTTTTTCTGTTGAATTGGGGCTTTTTGTTTTACTCTATGCAGATGCTCTGATTTACTCCAATGTGACATCACTTTGTATTGTCTGCAAAAAATGTAATAAAAAGATTTGGAAAAAGACCTGGTTATCATTTACACATATTGTATTTCATGTGTGACATAACAGTTTTTATAAGCTAGTCTTTAAAGAAGGCCTGAGTGCTTGCTGCTTCACTCTACAGCTGAGTATAAATCTTTAAGTTATTCGCGACTAAATCAAACAGTCACGTTATTTTATCATCTGGATTCACACACACTGCTAATACCTAGTTTCTCTCCGGGTGTGTGTATGAAGTGCTGAGTGTGCAGAGCATTCTTGCCTGTTCTCACAGAGGTGACCCGCCCTTCTGCTACCAGCCAGCAGCTGTAGGGATTCTCACCGCATGTGCATTTATGCACCCAGTACAAAAACTCATCCACACACCCTCTTCAGTACAAATATCTAGATATGATAAATACAAATAACTCATCCTGCCTTGTTACAGTTTAAAGTCAACATCCGTCCATTAGCCGAAAGACCACAAAAGAGATAATATAGTGAGGAAAGAATGAGCTGCGAGGGAAAGCATGATGTTTTCAACCAGAGATTTACTGCAATTAATAAGACAATGAAAACCTTCATAGAAGACTAGATTATCCACCCACTGAGACGGGGGCTTCTTTGGAACATAAAGCTGCTGCCAAGCATGCACTAGTACATGCTAAAAAAAAAAAAAAGGTTGCTAAAACAAAGGGGGGTGATGATAGAGGCCTTACAGGAGTGGAATGAAAAACAAACAGTTGAGAAAGAAATGCTTAAATGCCTCCATTGAGTTGTGACACAGTGTGGGAGAGAGGAATCATAAAGACTGCAGCTCCATGATGGAAAAAATAATAAGACGATTGTTGTCTAATCTCTCCTTTTCAGGCAGACAGGAAATCTGGACACAGCAAAAGCCTGATGGGACAGGAAGTGAAGAGCCCCCAGGCGGGAGGCATCGGCTCCTGCACTTTTCATGGCAACAGGAGTGAATCATCTTTGCCCTTCTGTTCGGGGACACCTGCTTTATGAAATTACTGTGGGTGAGCATACTGTAATCTTTGGCCTCGTCTTCAAAAGGGGAGCAGGAGAGATATCTGAAATAAATATGGCGTCTCGGAGTCGAGCCAGCTGGCCAGTCGTCCCTCCGGCCTCACAGGAGTGTGGACCTCTACCATGTGACTCCCTATGCAATGCTGACTCATCATTAATGTATGTTTTTTCTCTCTCTCTCTCTCTCTCTCTCTCTCTCTCATGCTGAGCAGAATGTTGACTAAGCAGCATGTTTTACTAAAGCTCTAAAAATGAAGAGTCTTAGAAAGTCCTCACAGTTTGGAGAAAGAGAAGCCATTTTTTTTCTGGTGTCAGCAGTGACACAGACCTCGTGCCCATGGGGAATTGGTGATAGCGGAAAAATAAAAATGATAAATGTGTTTGTGAAATCCTAGATTGACGCCTCCTGGCACAGCATGAAATAATGTTTTCAAGTACTCACAAACTCAAGCCAAACATCTCTGCCAGAAGTACATTGCACCAGATGAAGAAATAGCCTCAAAAATGCTTTTTTATGAACTTTTACTACATTGAAATTAGACTTCTTTAATTTGACATTTATAAGCAGAAGCCTCTGTATATCATCAGACTTTTAAAGTGCATGGTATCCTTCAGTTTATACGTGCATGCAGCGGCAGGACCTGATTTGAGTGAATCCAGACGAGGCATTTGCTACAGGGCTGGAATTTCTGCCACAAGTGCAAGTCTCCTCTGATGGGAAACACGTTTGAAGAGGGAATCGTTGCCGAGGCTCATTACAGGTCAACGCTGTAACAACCTCCTCAATCCACACCCTCACCTCGATTCTGAAACCAACGCCTCACCACATCACCAGGGCAGATAATCCTTGGTCAGAAATTCTCAGATACAACTATAATTATGTTTTCAGTTGGAAATGTCTCACAGCTTGCATTACAAATCCCATAAGAAGTGCATGTTGTTGTGATCTGCTTCAAGGAACATACAAATGGAGAAGGCGTGGGGGTGTGCTTGATTTTTTTCTACGGGCGAGGCTGAAGAGGAAAGTTACTCCAAGCAGAGGTTGAATCTTGGTATGGACACCTTGTGCTGATTACCCTGATCACAAAAGTGCTTCCTTTTAACGGTCCAATCTCAATATACATTTAAATCTGTAGGCACAGAATTTGATATTGATATCAGAGGTTATAGTGCGAGGGGAAGAATGCACTTGTTGTACGCAGGAAAACACTGTGTGGAGAGCAACAGAGGTAGACGCAATCCTGAGCCCCAGTACTCATCCAACACCAATAGTCTATATATTTAATGTCTATAAACAGATATGTGTATGCCAGTGCAGCTGATAATCCACTCTTAGACGTCCTCACTCAACTGCAACTCCGCTCTCACTTCTCAAGTGGTTAAAAATGATCAGCAGGAGGACGAACATGTCTTAGCTGGAAGTCTATTATTGCTTAACGTTGGTTCCGTTGAAAGTTGAAAAGTTAGCCACAACTCCTGGAGGCAGACTTCAGAAGTCAGCTGACAGGTTTTTTGAGATTGGTCTATAATTAAGTGATGTGGTTGTTAATTGTTTAGAAATCCAACTGGCAGTATTAAGATTTCCACATATGCAATGTCTATAAAATAGAATGGAATAGAATTACTTTATTGATCCCAAACTGGGAAATTGTGGCGTTACAGCAGCAGGTTGTCCAAACACACAATATTAGTAAATAAACACAATATAATATTAAATACAGAGTAAATGAGTACTAAAAATATAAAAACTAAGAGAATATATACATCCAGGTTTTAAAAGAAGCCCCTGAAGCCTCTACCCTCTGTTTCTCTTTCTTAAGGCAAGACGATGAGCAACTCAAACAAAAAGGTGAAGAGCATAAAACAACCACAAACATATTGTGACCAAGAGATACATAGACTGACTCTGTAACCATGTGTCTCTTTAACAGCCAACTAATAAAGCCAATCATGGGCCACAAGTTGCCATTCACATTTAGCAAACCCTGAAGCCAATCATTTTCCACGAAAGCAGGAATACACATCCTGTTAACAATTTAAGTGCGCTGGAGCCAAATAAAAAGACAATTAAATGAATAGTATCAACAGACAGACCATCAGCAACTACTTAAGTAATTGTCAAAGCCTTTTTCAACCTATAATCACACAAATGTCTTTATTTCTTAGTTGCTTTGCCTCCAAGAGAAATAATTAGAATATTGTGTTTGGAGACTATAGCTTGACAAAAGAAATCCAATCTGAAGGCACAAGATGCTAAGATAGTTTTTTTTACCAAATGAATAAAAACTTAGTATTTTGTTCACAAGATAATGTACTCATTATTTTCTTGACTAAGTATTTGGGTTCCTTAAGTCCACTATGTTTTCCATCACAAGCATGTTTCAAGCCTCCACAAGAGCATCATGGGATTTCAAAATGCCAAGCAAATGAAGATGTCGAGTCAAAGAAGCCGACTGGGGCAGCTAAACTGTGTCTGTAATTGTTTGACTGCAGGCTTGGGGTTATTTTATTCAGGGCCAGTGCACTTAATAGACTTGAAAATGTGTTTTTCCATTGCAATGTTAAAAAAAGAATTATGCTACTGCTGCACACAGGCAATAGAAGAAATTCTGAGTGTATTTCATATACTTGTACTTCTGTGTTGTAGCTTTTCAACTAAAATGTGATTAGAGTCTAGGAACAACAAGAAAATTTGTCTTTAAATTACAGATAGAAAAACAATAAATCAAATCTCATCGAAGGTCAGATTACTTCAAAGAGGCAAAGTAATTATGGGCTATCAGGTGTTGCAGATCTCTAGTTCACACATGCACGCTCACACACACACACAATCAGGGATTCAGATTCAGAGCTGGAGTACGAGAGAACGTTCCGGCTCATCTCACAAAGGTTATGGTAACAACTCCTGACAAACCTAATCCCTGCTTCACCGAGGCATCATGGGTAAGCTGAAGTGAACCCGTTAATCAAAGACTGTCGGGTCGCTGCCAGGCGTTTCAGGCTAAACGGCAACTCAGATCAAAGCCTATTAGAAAAAGCTTTGTACCTCAATTAGCCGTGGCTCAATACTTCCACAATGCTATTTACGATTAGATGGAATTTATAGATCACAGCATGGAAAATTTTAAAAAAGCCAATTTAGGAGACGCACAACCTAAGTACACACAGAGAATCCATGCACATACCAGATGGCTGCATTTACCCAGAACTGCTTTGTTCTACACTTAAGGTCAGGGGATTCCACTCAAAACACCGCTAATAGGAAGGCTAAATGCTGACAGGGATGGAAAAAACTATTTTTTCACTTAAACAGCATTGAACATCTGTGGGAAAGAGTATAATAAGAGGAATCTTAGAGCTCCATCGCAGCAGGTGGAAAGATGGCTTCTAGGT